CATTCCTTATAAAAGTGATTTTTTTTCACAGAAATCCTTGAAACCCTGAGCTCCTCCTCTCATGTATTTAAGATGTGGACAGCACTACTCTAGCTCCAGGTCCACAACTTAACGACTCGGATGACTTGGCTATCAGATTCCTTACCAGCAGAACTAGCAGAACTTGTATCCATGGTGGTTCCCAGGAGTGCTGAGAATCAACAAAGAACACCGTAGCAAAAAGCAGTAGTACATGTTCAACGCAAAACTACCTAAGAGGGCTGGATCTGGTGGCACATCCCTGTGATCCCAGGACTCAGCAGGCTGAGGCAGGAGGATCACAACTTCGAGGGCAGCCTGGGCTACAAAGTGAGACTCTGTCTCAAAATATTAATATAAAGAGAGAAAGAGAGAAGGAAAAAAACAACCTACCTAAGGGGTACAGCAGGTAACCAAGGGATAGGGTCATCTAGGTCTGAACCCCACCCAATGTCACTACAACTTTGCTTGGGGTTCAGTTCTCTCATCCATAAATGGAGACTGCTGTTCATAAATTTGAAAGAGACTTAGCACACAGCATCTGCGGCAATGATAAATTTTGCTACCAAGAATTTTCTTGACAGGGTAAGATGAGAATCAACTTATTCCAAGCTAATGAACATCTACTAATCAGGCTTTAAATTGAATGCAAACCAGCCAGGCACAGTGGCACATGTCTGTAATCTCAGCATTTTAAGAGGCTGAGACAGGAAGATTTCAAATTCAAACCCCACTTGGGCAATTTATAAAGACCCTGTCTATAAAAAGTTGGGGGGGGGGGATATAGCTCAGTGGGAAAGTCTTGGGTTCAATCCCCAGTACAGGCTACAAATAATAAAAACATGCCAACCAGGCCCCATAGCTGAGAAACCCTAGGCAATGAACCCATTACAGACTACCAAAAGGACAACTCACAGCCTTTAACTCTAGCCTTGCAAAACATGGCAATGCAAAAGTGCATTTGAAAACCCCTAAAAAAATCAAGCAAGGGCCAGGGATTTTGCTCAGTGGTTTCGCCGCCTGCTGCACAGCGCAAGGACCCGAGTTCAATCCCCAGTACCAAAAAAAAAAAAGCAAAAGCAAGCTAATCCTTTATAGACTAGTACCTCTTTCCTTAGCCATGAATAAAAACAAGGAGCAAAGTAACAGCAAAGCTCAGGCAACATGTATTTAAATAATCTTGACCTCACATCCAATATGTTTCAAAAATCCTTTCCACCAAGGATACAATACTCTTTAAAGTACAGCAACGGCTCCGCTGCCTGCCTTGCAAGCGCCAGGTCCCGAGTTGGATCCCAGGTACCAAAAAAACCCCGAAAACAAAACAAAAATACAGTACAGCAACACAAAAAAATCCTTGCAGAGCACAGAAAATCTTGGTTAAAACATTTCCAATGACTGCTGTGAGTGGTTACAGTGTAATATTAAAGAAACAGTAGGGGCCTTGGTGTCGGGATGGCCTCCCCAGTCTCTGGGTTAAATTGTTTTCTTAATTGTTTAAAGTTTCCTCCTTGGGGGTGTAGTTCAATGGCAGACTTGTTCAGCATGCGCCAAGGCCCTACACTGACTCCTAGCATCACAACTAGAAAACAAGAGTTAAACACTAAGAATACTTCTTCAGAAATCTCTCGAATAAAAATTTTTACTTTAAAAACAATCTACTCTGAGCCAGGCATGGTGGTGCACACCTGTAATCCCAGTACTCAAGAGGCTAAGGCAGGAGGATCATGGTGGGTTTGAGGCCAGCCTGGGCTATATAGTGAGCTGAAGGGAGCCTGGACTACACAAAAATACAAAGAGAGAGAGAGACACACACACACACACACACCAATCCACTTAATTAGTAAGGGGAATATGCGAAATCACTGACTTTAATCCTGTATTTAACCTTTACTGTATTTCAAAAAAATAAACCAACCTAAACTTACATGTTCCTGTAAATGCTTCCCCCCCCCCCCGCACTAAATCTACTCTGTACTCTAATCTTGACTTTAAATGGGACACATTTCTCATCAAAATAAAAGTACTCCTCATACCCAGGAGAGAAGTAACTGCAAAACAAGATTTCCATTCGATCCCTGGCACCAAAACAAAAACAAAAACAACAACAACAACAACAACAAAAACCACAAGATTTCCAGCCTGGGGACTCCGCCAAGCTTGCTGGCCACCTGCCTTTTCAGTCTACAGCACAGTCCAGCAACTTTAGTTCTTCAGAAAAATGGGCTGGGGTGTGTGGCTCAGTAGTAGAGGCCCCTAGGTTCAATCCCCAGCAAGACACACACACACACACACACACACTATTAAAAATAAAGCATACTCCGCTGCCTGCTGCGCAAGTGCAAGGACCTGAGTTTGATCCCTGGTACCAAAAAAATTAAAAATAAAAATAAAAAATAAAAGCATACACCCAAATCCTTCATCTTTGCTCAATGTCTTCACCTCATCTCAGCTATCTCCTAATCCTCCTCCTGGAGTAATCCAAGAGACCACCCCCCCACCCCCACCCGGGTGTTCCCCCACTCCCAATTTCTAACACAGCACAATTACTACAAAAAATGGACTCTCCCTCCTCCAGACTTGGGCTTCAAGAGTTTTGCTTTAAGGCTGGGGATTTAGCTCAGTGGCACCACACCTGCCATGCAAGCAAAAGGTCGTGAGTTTGATCCCCAGTACAAAGAAAAAGTTTTGCTTCAAGAACTCTGTGATGCAAAAACAAGTTTTTTCCACAGGGCCTACAAAAAATATCTAAATGATGCCAGTTTCCTTAAGTATGCTCTAGTAAGCCAGTCCCAGACTCAGGTTGTTTCCAACAAAGACTATTATAACACTAAAGCTCTGTCCAGTACTGTTTTTCAAAGGACTGAGGCATAAAATGGCTACTTGAAAACGGAGCTTGGAAAATTTGAAAAATGTATTACTGGTGCTATCATCTGTGACTAATTCAACCTCTTACCTCACAAGGTGCCAGCAACACTCCAACCTGCTTACAGGAAACAAATGTACCTTTCTGATTTTGAGACAGGGTCCAGGCTGGCCTTGAACTCACAAACTTGCAGTGATTCTCCAACCTCAGCCTCTGGAGTGCTGGGATTACAGGCATCTGCTACCACACCTGGCACTAATGTATCTTAAAGCCCTCAAACAGGGCCCTCAGAAATCCTACCAGGCACTCTATTCAAATGGTGAAAAAGTAAAAATGAAATATCACTATCCAGAGATTTCCACAATAAAATGATAACTAAAGAATATATAAATAAATAATTAGGAGGTACTTTTCTCTTGATTTCTAAGAACCAGTTAACCATGGTACAATATTTTGTTCCTCTCCACCTAAGAAGAGAAAATACCTGGAATTTTCTCCAAATTTGTTGTTTAACAATATAGCCAGTAGATAGTGAACGTTCATTAATGTAAGTGCTTCACTACATTCACTTTCAATCCCATAAACTATCATACAACTTCCCAAGTTAAAAATCTGAGAAGGCAAAATCACAGATACGGATTATAACAAGCGGAATGTGATGAGTTAAGTAGTTCTCCATTGGGGATGATGAAAAAGTTCTGGACACGAACAGTGGCGACAGTTGCACAACACTGAATGTACTCCAAGCCACTGTACCGTACGCTTAAAAATGGTTTTTAAAAAATCAAGCATAGGCCGGGCATGGTGGTGCACACTTGTAATCCCAACACTCGGGAGCCTGAGGCAGGAGGATCGCAACGTGTTCAAGGCTAGCCTGGACTACATAGGGAGACTCTCTCAAAAATACAAAAACAAGCCAAGGATTTAGCTCAGTGGTTCCCCCGCCTGCCTCGAAAGAGCAAGGTGACGAGTTCGATACCCCAGGTACCAAAAAAAAAAAAAAAAACCCCCCCCAAAAACAAAAAAGCAAGCCACAGTGGCGCATGCCTGTAATTCCAACACTCGGGAGGCTGAGGCTGGAGGACCTAAGTTAATTCCAGGTCAGCCTGCAATACAACCCTAGCCCCAACTACAGAGTAAGACCCTGTCTCAAAAAAAAAAAAAAGAAAAAAGAAAAACGGTTAAAATGGCATGTTTTATGTATCTTTCACCTCAATGGGGAAAATGCAAATTTAATGTGCCCAGCTTTTCCATTCTCCACGGCTGCTGGTCTCGAAGCCAAAACCTTTCTGCGCACCTTTCTCTCCAGCGACTGTACACAGAATGCGTAAGTTTCACCCAGCACACGCTGACACTTCCCTCCGTAAACTTTAAAAACCAAAACCCAGAGGCAGACAAAGCCCCGAAGAGGCCTGGAGAAGGTGACGAATGTGGAAGTGCGTGATCCCCTTCTAAGCTAGGGATCGCTCCCCAGAAACACAGAAGAGGTGCCCTTACCATCTGGCCTGTCGGTTTCTAAAGCTGAACTCTGATCGCGCCAATCCTTACAGCGCACCTGGGGAGCCGGGGGGGGGGGGGGGGCGGGGGCGGGCCGGCCACTTCCGGCCGGGAGGGGCAGAGGGAACGGATCAGGCCTCGCCGCGCCCCGGCCCCACGCCGCCCCCCCCCATCGTTTACCGAGGCAGCGACGCGCGACGCCCTGAGCGCGCCTCCCCCTCCTCCTCCTTGCCGATCGGGAAACTGAGACCCGGCACCTAGTGACCGGGCTTGAAACAGCTCGCCCAAGGTCATCCGACCGGTGGGCGGCCGAGCCCTAGGCCTCGGACTCCGGGGTCCGCGCCGTCACCCGCGCACGCAGCGGCCGGACTTGAGGCCTCTCCGGTAGCGTCGGACCCCGCCTGCAAGGATCGAGGGAGCCAAACCCGAAGCCTAGCAGTCGGGAGCGAGCTGCAGACGACCCCGAGAACGCTTCGCTCCCGCGCTCACAGTCGCGACCCCCCCACCTTCGGCTGGGAAAGGCCGAAGCTGAGGCCGCGCCGCGAGAAAGCCACCAACAGATCTAACCGGGCCGCCTCGAGGGCGCCCGACCTCGGACGAAGAACTGTGGAATACTCACCTCTTTGGGCCCGGAGCCCCGTTGCCGCTCGGCACGCCAGGCGCGCCGCTCTCCTCCTCCATTTTGGGTTCCGTCGCCGCCACCTCAGCCGCCGCTTCGACCCCTGCCGCCATTTTCTCCGCGTCTGGGCTTTGTGTGAGGGAGCGGGCTGCGCGGCGCTACGCCTGCGCGCTCACGTGACCCGGTGCGACCAGTAACGCCTGAGCGCTACTGGGACGGCTCCCGCTTCCTCCCACAACTCCGCTCAGACCACGCCCCTTCCTTGGGCCACGCCTCCGACGGGCGCAGGCGCAGACCGGCCGCTGTCGATTCATTCATTCTCGCGTCAAATTTGTTTTAGACACTTACTGGAAGATACACCCGCCCTTCAGTACTGTAGGGAAGGCGTGTACACTTCACACCTACGCGCACACACCGGTTCTACTCACTCCAAGCTGTCTGTAAGCAGAGCTCGGACAAAAAGGTAGCAAAGTCCTGTCTGGGGGGTTCCTGGAAGATTTTGATAATTCTAACACACAGGTCGATATCAAATAAATACCAAATAAAATTTTCACTTCAACGTAATTGAAAATACTAGAAGAAATAAGCCAGGCGTGGTGGCACAGGCCTGTAATCCCGGATCACCATAAATTCGAGGGCAGCAAGACCCTGTTTAAAAAAAAAAAAAAAAAAATTTACAAAGAGGCTTTCGTGCTTCTTGATGGCTTATCGTTGGGCATCTTTCCATCGTTTCCAGGGGTACCGCACTCCAAGTTGGCCAGAGAAGTGGGTGCCAAGCAGCAGAGGCAATGTGCTTGGGTGTGACTCTGTGTTTCTGCAGACAACAGCCCCCCTTTCACCAGTCACCCTCTACCTGGGAGGCCTCGGAGCCCTGCCCCTCTTGGACACGATTCCAGCCAGGAGGTCTCCCAGGGTGCTCTTCCTACAGGCCAAGCGGGCTCTAGCCTCAGGCTCTTTGCCCTTTGCAAAACTGGCTTCCCCTTGCCCTTCCAGGCTGGGCTGAAAGAGTTTAGCTTCCTCTGTGGATGAGCTAGTACCAGGCAGGGATTCATGCAGAAGACAAAACTGCCAGACCTTGAGTGGGTGATCCCTCTTCCCTGAGGCTCAGCTGCTCTTCTGCAAATGATTAATAAGAGACTCCCAGAACCCACCTTTCAGGGCTGCTCTCAGCATTAAATGCAGACAGATGCCAAGAGGCCTAGAATGGAAACAGCTCAACATGCAAAAACCCTCCAGAAGTAGCTGCTGTTCTTTGGCTTGGCCACATTCTTCGGCCTCCCTGAGTCATCAACGAGGTGGGGCACAAGCTCCAAACTGGGGCAGTGCAAACCTTGGGTGCCCTGACTCAGCTTCCTAAGGCTGTAAAATAAAGGTTTCTGTGTGCTGGGCCTCAGTCATCTCACCTGAAAAGTGGAAGTAATAACAGTTTCTTTCCCCACAGGGTGCTAAGAATCAGAGGGGGAAAGGATACTGGGCCTCACCCACTGTGACCCCCAATAAGTATGAAGAGTGCAATCGTTAGTTATTAGTGAGCATAAAGGCCCCTGCATGGTATCTGGCCCCTTGGAGACGTCAAGTAAGTGGAAACTGTTCTTATGTAGCCTCTTTTTCTTTCTTGCTTTCTTTTTTAACACAGCATCTCACTCTGTAATTCAGGCTGGCCCCAAGCCTGCAGTGATCTTCCTGCCTCGGCCTTCCTAGTGTTTCGATTACACGCATGCACCACCACACTCGGCTTGCCTTTTTTTTTTTTTTTTTTTTTTGGTACCGGGGATCGAACTCAGGACCTTGCGCTTGCAAGGCAGGCACCGGAACCACTGAGCTAAATCCCCAGCCCAGCTTGCCTATTCTTAAAATCATATATTATGTTACCCTACTACCTGCTCTCCCTGTGAAAACTCAGACTGTTTCTCCCTGTGGGCTTAATAACACATCCCTCCACCTGGTCCCTCACTTTGGAAATGTAACTGACAAGTCCACTGCATCCAGCAAGGGTTCCTTTTATTCACTCAGGGGTGGGTTTTTGAAACGCCGTGCAACTTTAGAAAGTCAAGGGTGCCAGGAAAGCAAGCCTGCCGGATACAGAGGAGCGCAAGAAGCTTGCTGGGAACTTCCAGCCCAAGGGCGCTCTTGATGATCCGGCCACAGCTGCTGGCCTGGGAGGTGCCAAACAGACCTCAGAATGAGATCAGAGTGCGTGCTCCGTCTGAAGCTCAGGACCTTGTCCGTCTGTCCTTGTGACGTACAACAGTGTGCAAAAAACCTGACAATGTGTTCGCATGGGATCATGGAACAGACTCCGCCGGAAGTAGCTCTTGGCCCCAGAAGCGTTCTGGCTGAGCAGGAAGGCTCCAATGGTTTCCATCCATCCCTTCCAACACCAGGGCATGGCCAGCTGCTTCTGGCCTCTCTGCCACCCTGGCCTTCACACAGGCGTCTCCTCTGCCACCTTTTTCAGGAGTCCAGCTGCCAGCGGGGAGTGCTGGGTGTCCTCGGAGCCATCAGCAGCCCGGATCTTCAGGCGGACTTTCTGGTTCGTCCTTCTCCATTCAGAGTACAGCTGGCAGTGGTACCGGAAAGAGACCTGTGGGGGCAGTCCTGGCATGGGTGGGAAGGCCCAGCAAGCCTCCCCCTGCTGAAGAAGGAAGAGGCGCCCTACGGTGCCGGGCCTGGCCCACACCAGGGCCTGGCTCATGTTTTCAGGACCAGAGCCAGCATCCAACTATCTTTCTCTCCCCTCCCTCTTTCTCTCTCTCTTCCCCCCCTCTCTCTCTTCCTTGTTTTGTGGTATGGAGATTGAATCCCAGAACATTGCACTAAGCTACATCCTCAGCCCACTTTTTTTTTTTTTTGTACCGGGGATCGAACTCGGGTCCTTGCGCTTGCGCAGCAGGCGCCGAAACCACTGAGATAAATCCCCGGCCCTCCCACTTTTTATTTTTTATTTTCAGACAGGGTCTCACTAAATCACTAAATTGCCCAGGCTGGGATCAACCTTTCAATCTTCCTGCCTCAGCCTCCTGCGAAAAGGATTAAATGTCAATCAGTCAAAGGAAACAACCAGGATGTTGGGCAGGGGGTGAACAGATGGCGCTGCATCCAAGCAACGGATTATTTTATGGAGCTAAAAAGAAGCAAGAAGCCAAATATGGTGGCGCACGCCTGTCATCCCAGCACTTGGGAGGCTGAGGCAGGAGGACTGCTGCAAGTTTGAGGCCAGCCTGGGTGACACAGTGAGTTCAAGGCCAGCCTGAATTATATAGCGAGACCTTGTCTCAAAAAAACAAAAATTAAATAGATAGAAAGAAATGTGTGTACATATTCAAAATTTTTTCTGTATTAGATGCTAGCATTATATCACAAAACCAGTGGTGCCTTGTAAGTCTGCAGTATATATAGCTGCCTGTATCAGACTGAGATTGCAGTCAAAACAAAAGTAATTGTTTCTTCATTTAGTTGAATGTGGTTTTTGATCATTTGCTTAATTTAGGATAATAAATTTCTGAAAGTTGGAAAAAAAAAAAAAGAAATGTGTATAGCTGTGTATATCTCAGTGGTACAGTGTGTGCCTGGCACGTACAAGGTTCTGGGTTCTATCCCCAGCACCTTGAAAAAATAGACAGAATGTATAAAAAGAAATGAGAAGGTACGAAAAGATACTGAGAAACCCTAAATGCATATGGCTAAGTGGGAGAAGCTAATCTGGAAAAGCCCACATGCTGTGTGGCTCCAGCTCCATGGCATCCTGGAAAAGGTAAGACTGAGAAACAGGAAAACGATGAGGGCAGGGGCTGGGGCCAGAAGGAAGAGGTGAGCAAGCAGAGCACAGCAGTGTTTTGGGTTTTTTGTTTTTTGGGTTTTTTTTGGTACTGGGGATCAAACTCGGGTCCTTGCGCTTGCAAGGCAGGCGGCGGAACCACTGACGGGGGATCGAACTCAGGACCTTTCACTTGCCAAGCAGACGCTGTGCCACTGAGCTACATCCCGGGCAGCAATTGTTTTTCTGTTAGTTTGTTTTTTGTTCTGTTTTACTTTGTGAAACAGGGTCTTGCCCTCTAGTTCAGGCTGGCCTTGAACTCACAGCAACCGTCCTGCCTCAGCCTCCTGAGTACTGGGTGACAGGCATGCACCACCCAGATTTTTAGGGCAATAAAAATATCCACTATTAAAAAAATATGCACTATTATACTAGAATGGGGGACACATGTCATTACATGCAGGCAGTGTGGACTATGGCCTCTGGGTGCTAAGGATGTGTCTGGGAGGTTCACTGATTGCTACAAATGTGCTAAACCAAACTGGGTGCATGGTGGCGCACACCTGTAATCCCAGCACTCAGGAGGCTGAGGCAGGAGGATCACCGAGAGTTTGAGACCAGCCTGGGCTACATAGCGAGACCTGTCACACACACACAAAAAAACCCCAAAAAACAACAACAACAACAAAAGCAACCACTGTGGTAAACTGGTAAACTGTGTGCAGGATGTTGATGGTGTGAAGCTGTACATGCCTTGGGGAGGGGCTTGATAAATGGAAACATTCAGAAGTTTCTGCTCAGTTTCGCTGTGAATCTAAAACCTGCTCTAAAAATCTAAAGTCTATGTTAATTGTTTGTTTGTGTTTTGGTGGGGGGGTTGTTTTTGGTTTTTTGGTACTGGGGATCGAACTCGGGACCTTGCACCTGAGAGGCAGGCGGCAGCACCACTGAGCTAAATCTCTGGCCCTGTAAAGTCGATTTTGAAAAATGAAAGAATAAATGATAATGGTTGACACCCTTTGACTAAGTTCTCTGGAAATAATCATGGGGCTGGGGCTGGGGCTCAGTGGTCGGTACAGTGCTTGCCTAGCATGTACAAGGTGTTGGGTTCCACCCCGGCACTGTAAGGAGAAAGAAAAGAAAAATAAAAAAGAATTGCACAGGTGGTGCCCAGCGTTGGTTAAAAACAATAATAAAAAAAATAAAAGGAAGGGGGAAAAAAATCCACACTGGAAGAATCCCAGCAGGTGTCAGAAGGGATTGGTTAGATAAACACCCATACAGCGAATGAGTGCTAGGTGGTTGCTTTTTTTTTTTTTTTAAAGACAGGAACAAAGTGAAAACAAGCAGACTGTAAAACAGTACCTACAAAAACAAATACATAGCTGGCCGTGGTGCACACCCCTGTAATCCCAGCACTGAGGAGGTTGAGGCAAGAGGAATGCTGCAAGTTATTTATTTATTTATTTAATTTTTTTTGGTGCCAGGGATCAAACTCAGATCTTTCCGCTTGCGCAGCAGGCAGCGAAACCACTGAGCTAAATCCCCGGCCCCTGCTGCAAGTAATTTAAAAATTTAAAAGGCTGGAGATGTAGCTCACTGCAGCAGTCCTGTGTCATGTGTCACTTAGTATCAGGGACACGACCTGCAAAATGCATCCTGAAGCCATATCCTACCGCAAACATCAAGCACCTCACAAAATCTTAGACACCTGTGAGATCGATAGATAGTAAAAGCTTACAAGACTAGTATGTCAAACATGTGATCTGTAACCTATGAAATACTGGAGGGGTGGAACCCAGGGCCTTCAAACTGAGCTACACTCCCAGCCCTTTTTAATTTTGAGACAGGGCCTTCCTGAGTCACTAAGTTGCCCAGGCTGGGCTGGAACTTGCGATCCTCCTGCCTCAGCCCTCCAGAGTGCTAGGATTACACAAATGCACCACTATGCCACCTATTTCTTCTCCTCCCCCTTCTTTTTTTTAAAAAGGGCTCTGTTATGGCTTATATCTAGATGTCCCCCCAAAGCCTCATGCGGTCATAGCTGGGGCTTTTGGGTCGTAGATAGCTGGATGTAGGGTGTGTGGTAACTAACTCAGTCCCCTGATTGGTTTAGCATAGATCGGGGCGTGGATAATAGGAAGCCCCACCCTGGGTGTGAGTGGCACTAACCATTAGGCTTGTAGCCTAAAAGGAATAAAAGGGAAAGAAAGGCAGGCTTGTTGCTTGCTGCCTCCCCTGCCATGGACTGTTTCTCCACTGCCATGTGACCCTGCCATGGACTATTTCTCTTTTGCCATGCTGCCCTGTCTTGGAGCCAGCCAACTCTGGACTGAAGCCTCTACCAACTGTAAGCTAAATAAACCTTTTTGCCTTTAACTTGTGCATATCAAGTATTTTGTCTCACCAATGAGAAAGTAACAAAGACAGGCTCTCTCTTATGTTGCCCAGGCTATCCTCAAACTCCAGGGCTCAAGCAATCCTCATATCCCTTTCTCCTAGGTTCTCCTGCTCAGGTTTCTGCCTCCCTCCCTCCCTCTCTTCAGTCTTCTCTCTCCCTCCCTCACCCCGATTCTGGGGCTCACAGATTCAGGGCTGATGATCAAGCCCCCTGTGTGCCCACAGAGCTCAAGTGTCCCTGGCTTGAGGCATGGGGTGAGCTTCAGGAAGGTCCCACCCAGTCCACCCCCAGGCATCGCTGTCCCCAAGGCCACTCACCAGCGTCCAGAGGACGTAGATGGTGAAGAGGGCAATGGTGAGTGCAATCAGCCCCACGGCCTCCAGCCGGCTGTGCAGCCGAAGGTGGTCCTGGGCCCCACGCAGGCACAGCCAGCCCGAGACAGCAGCCAGCGGTGTGATGAACAGGAAGCACACCATGTCGCAGCACAGCGTCCGCTTCTCCGTGCGTGGCCCTGGGTCCCGCAGCCACTGCAGGGGGAGCAGATGGGGCAGGCAGGGAGGGAGAGGAGGGCTGAGGGGGGCGGGAAGCTGTCCTCCAGGTCTGGACTTCCCTCCAGCCCTTCTTGTGTTGTTTTCTTGAGACAAGGTCTCGCTATGTACCCCAGGCTGGCCTCAAACTCGCAGTGACCCCCCTGCCTCAGCCTCCCAAGGGCTGGGATTCGTCATGTGCCAGCATGCCTGGCTTAAAAATATGAAATTTTTGGAGCACCAACCTGACACCACAATGGAAGATTCCACATCATGAGTCTGTTTCATGTCCAAAATTATTCGAAACATTGTATAAAATTAACTTCAGGCTAAGTATATAAGCATATAAGAAACAGAGATGAATTTCCTCTTTAGACTTTCACCCTATCCCAGGAGAGCTTATTATGCATATGCAATTATCCAAAAAAAAAAAATCAAAGCCAGGCATGGTGGCCTGTGCCTGTAATCCCAGCACTCAAGAGGCTGAGGCAGGAGGTTTTCCACAAGTTCAAGGCCAGCCTGGGCTACACAGTGAGTTCAAGGCCAGCCTGATCTATAGAGAGAGAACTTGTTTCAAACACAAAACGAAGTAAAAAAAAAAAAAATCAAAATTCAAAAATACTTCAGTTACAAGTATTTCAGATAAGGGATTTTTCAACCTGTAATCTATAAACCAGCCAGAACTAGAACCTAGGGAGTCTTGCCTGGGGCCTCAGAAGCCTCACCCTCTATGCATCGATGCCTCCTATAGGTGACAGATGGAGAGAAAGACATTGCTCACACAATCTTGGTGAATAGGAAGGGTCACTGCCCTCTCTCACTAGCAGAGAGGCACAGATAGGGTGGCTACTTAGGGAGGAAGGATTGATTGGCCCAGGAGAATGGGCTGGGCAGAAGAGCTGGGGCATGGAGGGGAGGAACACTGCTGTTCGCTGCTGTTCGCCTTAGAGCCCGCTCTCTGTGGGCCAGGGCTTTTCCAACTGGGCCAGGCCAGCAGGGAGAAGCATCCACCATGCCTGCCACTGCACTGTCACGGGCCTGACCGTCACATTCAGACTGAAGTCTAAATGCCTGGGCACAGCTCTTGGCCACCTCGAATTTGACCCTGTCCACCCACTCAGGGCTTCATCAAAATTTGAAACTAGCTGGGTGTGGTGGCACACCCCAGTAATCCCAGCACTCTGGGAGGGTGAGGCAGGAGGATCACAAGTTTGAGCCCAGTCTGGGAAACTTCTTTCCCTGCAACCAACCGCTTCTGTGATTTCCTAGACTTTAATCTCCATGTGCATCTCCATGCGGGTGGCTGGGCCTCCCACACCAGACACAACACTGGGAGCCCCGGGAGAATCAAGAACACTTTCCAATGAGATGATTTTTTTTTCCAGTACTAGGGATGAAACCCAGGGGCCTCATACTGCGCTACATCCACAGCTGTTGTTTTTATTTTTTATTTTGAGACAGGGTCTTGCCAAGCCACTCAGCTGCCCAGGCTGGGCTTGAACTTGTGGAAATCCTCCTGCCTCAGCCTCCCAGGCATGTACCAGGAGATGGTGAATCTGAATGAGGAAGCAGGGGCCAACCCCGGGCCAGGAGCAAGGTGACACCCAGGCCAGCCCTGTCCCCACCTCCTGCATCCCCTCTGCCCACCCCTCTCAGGGCCCTCCTCATACCTCTGTGAGAGGCCGGGGCCGCTTTTCCACTGCAAACTCCGTATGGCACAGCTCGCAGTAGCTGGTGTTGGACGAGGACAGCCACTTCTCCAGGCAGCTCTTGTGCACAGCACCCAGCGTGCCAGTACAGCCACACGGAGATAGCAGACTCTCCCCATTGGCCCCCTCGTGACAGATCCGGCAGAAGGGACAGTCGCTAGAGATAAAGGAAAGACCCATGAGCAGTGACTGGGCTTCCTGCTTCACTGCCCCCATGTTGGTGAACTCCTACTCATCCTTCAAAGCCCAGCTCCAAATGTCCTCTCCTTTCAGAAGTCTCCTCAGAATGAGGTGCTACTTCCCCAGGGCCTCCTGTGCCACCACTTTAGGCTCAGGGTGAGCCTCTTGTGTACCTGCCTGCCTAGTGTCCTTTCCCTCTTTCCTTACAGTACTGATTACTCTGAGCAACCAGCCATTCTCAATTCTTGGTCCTCAGGACAAATGCAGGGTTGGTGACAGCCAGGTGTCCTTGAGCCTGACCAATAGACCAGCACACACTTCAACTTTAGGAATCAATTCAGAGGAGGGCTTCTGTGACACAATCAGATCCACTGAGAATGTTTACTTTGCTTTTTCCATATGTGTGTGTGTGTGTGTGTGTGTGTGTGTGTGTGTGTGTGTGTTTGTGTGCGTGTGTATGTTTTCTTTCATTTTTTTGTTTTTTTTTTGTACCGGGGATCCATCAAACTCAGGGACCTTGTGCTTGTGAGGCAGGCAGCCGAACCACTGAGCTAAATCCCCGGCTTGGTTTGGTTTTTGAGACAAGGTCTCAGTATGTAGCCAAGGCTCACCTGGAACTCACAGTGATCCCCCTGCCTCTGCCTCCCCAGTGCTGGAGTGACAGGCCTATGCCACCACATCCCACTTTTTTCCCCCCAATTTCTGAAATTCCTTTTCCCCCCTATACACCAAAACAGGAAGGCTGATGTCAGCCCAGAGCTGCTGCCAGCCACTTGGACTGTGGAGTTTCTGAGAGATGCCAAGAGGGTAAAGCAGGGCCAGGGACAGAGACTTTTTTTGGGGGGGTACCAGGGATCGAATTCGTGTCCTTGCACTTTCGAGGCAGGTGGAGGAACCACTGAGCTAAATCCCCAGAAAGAAAGGTGGATTCTTAAGGCAGGCACCAGGCCCCTCCTGAAGGCCTGTGCACCGAAGAACCTGCCACCTGCAGCTCCTCTGCCCCTGCTGGGGGAACATGGATAGAAATGGCACCAGCAGAGCCACCTGAGGAAAGCCTCCTGGGCCTCCGGGCCTTCCTGCCCACTGGCAGGAGGTGTGGCCAGAGCCAGTGGCTCCCCAGAGCCTGAGTCATTGTTTTCCAAACATTTCTGCTCCAAAGCAGAGGCTGCAGGGAGCAGAAAGGAAGCTGTTGTCCAGATAACACCTGCGTTTCCTCTGGAAACTGTTTCCTTTCCCTTTCTCAGGCTTTCTAGCCACAGGGTGGGGCCTGGCTGGCCTGAAAGGAGCCCCAGGGACTGCCCAGGACCAGGTACGGTGTTCTCTTCCCACTGCTACCCCGATCCCACCCCTCTGCACTCTCAGTTCACAGGAAAGGAATACTGCTGGGGAAACGGGAGTGCCAGAGACACAGAGGGTTCTGGGAAAACCTGGAATGCTTTGTTTTTATTTTTTTATTTTTTTATTTATTTTTATTTTTTATTTTTTGGTACCGGGAATCAAACTCGGGACCTTGCGCTTGCGAGGCAGGCACCGGAACCACTGAGCTAAATCCCCGGCCCTGTGTTTATTTATTTATTTACTGGGGGAGGGGGGTTACCGGGAATTGAACTCAGGACCTTGCACTTGCCAGGCAGACACAGCACCACTGAGCCTGGGCCTGGGACAGTTTCTTTTTTTTTTTTTGGTACGGGGATCAAACTCCAGTGCTTCTGCTTGCGAGGCGGGTGGCAGAACCACTGAGCTAAATCTCTGGCCCCTGGGACAGTTTTTGAGACAAGGTCTCACTACGTAGTTCAGGCTGGCCTTGGACTCATGGCAATGCTCCTGCCTCAGCTAGCAGAAACTTTACTGAGCATTTACTGTGTACCCACATGGATGAATTTGTCCGGTGCTCATTTGGCCCCTGCTTTAAGAGGGTGAGACCGAGATGGAGAGGAGTTGTGCCCCGCTGCAGGTCTGCACAGCTAAGAGCCTGCAAAACTTGGATGGGAACCCAGAAAGGGCTGGGCGTGGTGGTGCACGCCTGACATCCCAGCACTTGGGAGGCTGAAGCAGGAGGATCCCCACGAGTTCAAGGCCAGCCTGGGCAACACAGTGAGTTCAAATCCAGCCTGGACTATATAGCAAGACCCTGCCACAAAAAATAAAGAAATAAGTGAAACCTAGGAAGTCTGGCTGGGGCCTGTGTACCCTTGGCTTCTACTCCACTTCCTCCCCAGATGATGAGCAAGAGAAATGGGCCTTGCTTTGGAAATTCAGGCAAGGAGATCACCCAAAGGACAGAAAAGAAGGAAATGCACAGAGAAGAAGGAAATGCGAAGGGGGCACAGGACGGGGCTGCTGGGAGCACTCTAGGAGCAGGAAAAGGAGAAATAACTGGAGATCGGAAATACCTCAGGGGAAGAGGGCAGCAGGGGAGAGGCCAGGGCCAAGAGTTATAGCTTAGAGGAGAGGCTGGCTCAGGGCCAGGGAGACAAAGCCCCCCAGGCCCATCTGGCCCTGGGGATCTTCCCGACCCTTCCTCTTTGGTACTGGGGATCCAACCCAGGGCCTCTGCACTGAGCTACATAGCCAGCCCCCCACCCCCCCAGGATCGAACTGGGGTCCTTGGGCTTGTGGAGGCAGGCGGCAGAACCACTAGGTAGATCCCCGGCCCCAGCCCTTTTTAATTTAATTTTATTTATTTTCTTATTTTTGAGACAAGATCTCACTATGTCAGTTCAGTCCAGACCTCTCTGCCCCTCCTCTTCTTGGTCTTATGTCCAGAGGGATGACCGGCAAATGGAAGGCCAGATTTGTTTTGTTTTGTTTTCTGAGATAGTCTCACTATGTAGCCCTAGCTGGCCTTGAACTCACAGCGATCCTCCTGCCTCAGCCTCCCAAGTGTGGGGATGACAAGCGTGTGCCACCACATGGGCTCCTCACACTGTTTTAAGCATAGGCAGCCCCCAATTTAAGGTGGGTTAGACTGGTCCTTTTTCAAGTCCACAGTGGCACAAAAAGCGATACACATTCAATACAAATCACAGTTCCAATTTTGAGTTTCCACCCTTCCTTGGGCATCTCTTGGAATACTGGGCAGGAGAGTGACCTAGAGGTCCCTGTCCACCCCAGGGTGAACAACTAGGACTCCCCGGTGCTGCTACACTGTGCTGTTGAGCACATTAGGTCTATCCAGTGCATTTGCTCTCCATTTTTTTCTTTTTGGGGTCCTCAGGATTGAACCCAGGGCCTCCTGTGCACTAGGCAAATGCTGTACCATGGAGCTATGTCTTCAGCTCTTTTCATTTTTCTTATTTTGAGACAGGGTCTCACTAAGTTGCTCAGGCAAGACTTGAATTTGTGATCCTCCTGCCTCGGCCCCCTGAGCAGGAACAGCCAGGATTACAGGCCTGCACCACTAGAGCGGCTTCGATGTATTTTCAGTCAGGGACACCTGGACATTTCTGGAATGCTTGCGGAGTGGCAATTCCTACCTTCTGGGGACCAGATCCTCGTTTTCTCAGAACAACTTGAACAGGAAGAGGACCCTGTTTTAGAGATGTGGTAGTGAGGTAACTTGCCCAGGGTCCCTCAGAGAGGAAGGGAGGCACCCACTGGAGAACTGAGCCAGGTGCCTGGGCACACGGCCTGCACTCCTCTTTGCTCCTTATATAGGTGTATACCTGTAATCCCAGCACTCTGGGAGGCTGAGGCAGGAGGATCACAATTTCAAAGGAAGCTTGGGCAACTTGGTGAGAATTTGTCTCAAAACAAACAAACAAACAAACAAAACCTCTCTGCAGTGTGAGTTCCTGACAAACATGTGACTTCCAGACTTTGCATAATAACTGGAATTTGGGCTTTGCCTAAAGAGCCAGACCTGGCCAGCCGGGGTTCTGTTTCCACACAGCGAGTTCACCTCGCCAGCCTCTTCTGGCCCCAGACCAGCAGGAAGTCATTTAGCCCAGAGAAAAAAAGGGACAAAGTTCAGGCACCACACAGCCCTCACTCACCCCGGCGTGTCCAAGGCCCGGATGACTGTGGAGAGGAGCCGGCCGTCCCTCGAAGTTACCTGTGCCACGTACTGCGGAGGCCCCAGGCCCGTGGCCTCCACGACCTTGGAGAAAGCAGGGCTGCCTGAGCAGTCGCACAGGGAGCCTGGGAGGTGGCAGCAGTCGCCTGTCGTCATGGCCACAGGGAACCCTGTGTCCTCAGGGCCCAAGGCCCATGGTCCCAGGAGCCTGGGGAGAGGCAGACAGAGAGATTAATGGCAAAGTTAGCAAGCCCAGTGGACCACAGCTCGAGTCCCCGCTCCTCATGCCCCATTCAGCCTTGCTTTACCAGATCTGAAAAATGGGGCTTGGTTGGGGGCATGCATGCATACTGGCAGGCAGTATGGACACAGGTTATATGATCTCCCACTCTGTTGAGAAAAGCCAGGGGGGCCTGGGATTTAGCTCAGTGGTTTTGCCACCTGCTGTGCAAGCGCAAGGACCAGAGTTCAATCCCCGGTACCAAAAAAAAAGAAAACCCAGGCAAATTAGGTGCCTCCTGCAGACACAGCTACTGGGGGGCGTGGGGAGGCTAAATCAGGAGGGTTGAGAGTTCAAGGCCAGCCTGGGAAACAGTGAGAACTTGTTGTCAATAAATAAATAAAAGAAGCTGGGTGTGGTGGTACAAGCCTGTCATCCCAGCACTTGGGAGGCTGAAGCAGGAGGATCACTGGGATTTCGAGGCCAACTTGGGCTATATAGTTAAGACTCTGTCTCAAAAAACTAAAAAACAAAAAAGAGAGAAAAAAGCCACACAAGCCCCCCCCCATCAGCTTTCCAGATGCAGGAAGAACATCTGGCAGCTACTGAGCACCTACCACATCCCAGGGCCTGTGCTCGGCTCCATTGGGGGCCAGAACCATGCTGTGCCGGCTCAGGATTCCTGGGCTGGGCTGGGAGCCAAGGAGGCTGCCTTGGGCCGCAGTGACCAGACCTAGCGACCTGGCTCCGAAAACCAGAAACGCAAGTCACCCTGACCCTTCTGCTTCCTGGCTCCTGTCAGGCTGTACACTCCTGAAACTCCAGGCCATCAAGGAAGTAGCTGTGGCCATGAGGATGGAGGTGGCCTCAGTCTCAGGAGAGCAGCTGCTCTGAGCCACGACTGGGTCCCCTCAGGGAGGTTACAGGGAAACCACTGAACCTTAGGCAGATTCCGAACATTCTGCCCTCTGCCTGGGGTCTGCTCAGCAAAAAGGGGCCGAGCAGGCCTCTGTCTGACCCAGAGCCAGCCAGCTTCCAGGCTGGAAATCCCGGCTTTCCGATAGCTCTGGGAGTTTTCCTCAGAGAGTTCCTTGAAAGCAACAGAGGACTCTCCAGTAAAAGTGCCACGAGTCAAGGATCTCTGTCCCCAACTTGTCTAACCCCCTGGGGTTTTGTCCCCCGAAACTAAGGTCCAGAGCCTGCAACAAGCTGTATGGTTTAGGAACTCCCAGGGAGGGGGCCAGTCAAGCACATACCTGAAGTGTCCCCTCCAAGTCAGCTTTTGTTTTGGTTTGGCTTTTGTTTGGTTGGTTGTTTTTTTTGTTTTGTTTTTTTTTGGTACCAGGGATCGAACTCGGGTCCTTGTGCCTTCGAAGCAGGTGGTGAAACCACTGAGCTAAATCCCCAGCCCTGGTTTGGTTTTTTGAGACAGGGTCTCAGTATGTAGTTCAAGTTGGCCTTGGACTCCCTATTAGCCCGGGCTGGCCTCGAACTTGTGGCAATCCTCTTGCCTCTGCCTCTGGAGTGCTGGGATTACCACTGGGCACCAGCATGCCTGGCTCTCCAAGTCAGTTTTTACCAACCCCTGACAGTCAAAATATGAGACCCAGAGAGAGGGGGGCAAAAGCAGTATGAATTGTTGATTGACTAACTTTTTGTACCAGGGCAATGTGCCAACAGATCAGTGCATTCTGAACAGCTCAGCCCTGCAGGGCCTCCCCAGTCGGGCCACAGGAGGTCAGATAAGCAGGTATCAGCCCAAGGCAGAAGGAGCCCAGAGGAAGGCTGCATGTCTGAGACAACATCCGGCGGGCAGTGCCCAGGCCTGCTGTCTTGTGAATGCTGCTGACCCTCCCAGGAACTTGTAACTCGAACTTCCAGCTCAAAGGTGACCGAGGAAGCCTCTGAGCGGAACGCATGCAGCAGGAAGTCCAAGCACTGGCCTTAGCCTTAGCCTTTCTGCAAATAATCATGCGTCACAAGAACCATCACAGCTCCTGTATATTAAGTACTAGGCAGGTGGGGCTGTGGGGAAATCTGCTAATGCTGGGCACACATATAACCAACACAGTAATAGCAGCTAAGGTTTATGAAAGACTGGGGCCATGGCAAGCCATCTGCCCAAGTGTGAATCCTCTCATCAAACTCAGAGGTGTGAGTGTCCACTTAGAGGTCACCTCCAGGGAGAGTCCTTCCCTGGTCACTCTGGCTAAAATGCCACTAACATCCACATTACTCTGAAATCCTGTAGTTGCTTTTGTTCAGCCACCTCTGTCTTCACACTGCTCGGTGAACTCCTGGAAGGAGGACCTTGTCACACTTGCTCACTGCAGGTCCCGGCCCTGTGTCTGCTGTGGAGTCTGCGGCTGTGTTGCTGCATTCATTTCTCAGCCCCAATTCCACAGAAGAACGGGCTTGGTGGGTCAGATCTCATCCCACTAACTTTTTTTTTTTTCGGTACCGGGGATCAAACCCAGGTCCTTGCGCTTGTGCAGCAGGTGGCAAAACCACTGAGCTAAATCCCCCGCCCATCTCATGACCCTCAGGGCCCCCCAGAGGAATCAGAGAGGCTCAGAGGCTACAAAGTCCATGCATGTCACACACACTGGGCTGATGAGGCCAAATTTGGAAATGGACACAAGGCAGAGAGGCTGCAGATGGGACTTAAACTCTGGTGCTGCCTTGGGCAAATGCAGCCCAAGGAGTTGGATGGCAATGAATGTGTACAACAAACCTCTCGGCCTGAATGTTACTACTGTTTGATCTGTGAGCAGGCTGAGGCTCAGAAACAGGCATCCACTTGCCCAAGGTCACACAGCCAAGAAGGGACAGTGCCAGGATTTGAACTTCCACAAATGGTTGAGCTGGTCTTGGCCTCAGAGACCTAAATTCTTTCAGTCCCAGCTCTGTCACTGAGACCGTGTGTCCTGGCTCAAGTGACTTTGCTTTCCTGGACCTCCTCTGTTTCCTTTGTCAAATGTGCTGGCAGACTGTCTGCTGGGTACCCCAATCTTCCCATGCCTCCCCAACACCCGACACTGAAGAGGACAGAGGACCCTCCCTCCCCCAGGGTCATCTTAAGCAGCTCTACCTCCACTCTCGATGTTCTTGTCTTTAAGATGGGGATCATAATGATGCCCAAGTTATGCATTGGTAAACATTAAAATAAAATCAATAAATATCAGCTCCTATTATAATTACCACTGTCAGCCTGCAGAGCTGTTGGGACGGTCTGATGGGAGGCTACACAATCCATAGCTGGAATCCAAGAGGTACTCAGTAATTCCTCTCTGTTATTATTTAGGATATATGTGCAGCTGTCAAATGCATCATTCACTTCTGCTGGGTGTGGTGGCCCACGCCTGTCATCCCAGCACTCCAGAGGCTGAGGCAGGAGGATCCCTGGGACTTCAAGGCCAGCCTGGGCTACACAGTAAATTCAAGGCTGGACTGAACTACATAGCAAGGCCATGTCTCAAAATGAACAAACAGACAAAATATGCATTCGTGCCTCTTCACTCATCCCAGAGAGCCTGCTATGTGCTTTTTAGTACTTCCAAGGTCCCACATCAGAATCCAGGTTCTAAGCCCAGCTCTCCTCCTTATTTGCTGTGTGGCCCTGGGCAAGAGACTTGACTTCTCTGAGCTTTGACCTCCTCCTGTCTGACGGGAACCATTTTTAGTACTTTTTCCGTCTAGTTGAGTCCCAGAGGGCTGAAGGAACAAGCGAAACATAAAAAATTCTGTTTCGGCAGCTCTGTGCACAGTTCCTGGCTGGTGATAGTGCCGTATTTACTGTTTTCCAGAGAAGGAGGACAGGGAAGGACGTGAGTCACTCACTGACAGCCTACTGTGTGTGACAGGCGCTGTCCTCATCGGCCAGCTCCGGATCGGCTTGGCGCTGGAGTGACCCAGTTTCACAGACGGGGAAACCGAGGCTCAGAGAGGCGCCTCCTGGGTGCCGAGGCCCACAGACCTCCCGTCTCCCTCAAGGTGGACACTGAGGTCCCCGCGGGCCCGCGAAGGCGGAGGCCAAGGGTCCGAGCCGGGCTGTCCCACCCGGGGCCGAGTCAGGCCTCGAACGCGGGATCCGGACCCACCTGCGTCCTCCGGCCCTAACCATCGTCTCGCGCCTACCTGATCCGCGGCCGGGCCGGGCGGCCGCGCAGGCCACACCGTTCGCCCTGCCCCGGGTCCCGGCCCGGCCCGGCCCGGCCCGTCAGCGCCGCTCGCTCGGTTCAGGCTGGCACCTGCGTCCGGGCACCGCCCGCCGAGGCGACAGCGCCGCGGACCAATGGCGGCCGCCTTTTTCCAGTATTGGCCAATCGGCATTCAAGTCCCGCCCTAAGAGGGGTGGCCGGAGGAGACGGGGACGTCCTGGGCGGTACAGGACCCAAGGCGCCGCAGCTGTTGGCTCCGCCCCTGCCGCGTCCTCACCACGCCTCCAGTCCTGGTCACGCCCCCAGCCCTGGGCTCCGCCCCCATCCCAAACTGGGCTGGCTGGCCCAGCTGCAGAATGCTAGTAGTGCTTGTAAGTAAATAAAACCGGCGCTGAATTCAACTTGACACTTGCTAAGTGATTTGTAAGTGTTCGTCACCTCCCTCGCGCTTTTCATTAATCTTGGGGAAGGGAGAGAGCGTCTGATCACTTTTCACAGATTAGTTGGGGTTGGTGGAGTACCCTAAAGCCAACACTATTTATTCATAATTCACTCATTTATGAGATAGATCCGTTCAAAAAATGTAGCAAACAGAGCTGACTGTGGAGGGGGAAGGGGATATAAAAAAGAACTGAGGTGTGTTATGTCCATGTACCAACTCCCCAGGATGAGTGGGACCATTATGTACTGCCTACAGGCGCTATTACATTTTTAAAAATGTTTTTTAAAAATAGGAATAGAGGGCTGAGGATTTAGCTCACTGCTTCCGCCGCCAGCCTCGAAAGTGCAAGGACCTGAACTTGATCCTCGGTACCAAAAATAAATAAATAAAATAAAATAAAATAGGAATAGAAGTTACCTAGGAGAAAAGAGGAGAAAGAGTAGTAAGCAGAGGATTGGGAAATACATAGATTCAGAGATAGGATGGAAAATTGCCCAGGACCCTCTGCCCCTGCATTTGGTAAATTCTGTTGTGTTGTATCAGCTTATACTGTTTAAATGGAAAGATAAGTCATAAAATTTTATAGAGACTACTCATGGGAGATGAACGTTGTCAGGAACAAGAGTCACTTTTATCAAGCCCTAAAAAACAATGGCAGGAATAAAAAATAAACCTGAAAAGTTAAGAAGGAGAGGCAATCGTTCCAGAATGCTTGAGATGAGAACTGTCACATGAGACTTGGATTAGACATTGCAACATTATGCAGAAATACTTGTGCAAGGTTGTGGCCCCAAAATCATCTCTATAATCTTGGGCTGACACCATTTATGTTATTGATCTTTGTAGCCAAAGAGAACTAATTCAAAATAACTTATGTAATCCTCTGCATTTTGACTTTGAAACTTTCTTTTCTCTCAACCCCTTGGAAAACACACATTCTCTACAGTGGCATGTACATTCTCACTGGAATGCTATTTCTGAGTAAATCTGATTTTTCTTTTGCGGTGGTGGGGATCAAACCCATGGTCTCGCACAGGCTGGGGAAGTGCTCTACCACTGGACAACATCCCCAGTCCTTTTTAAATTTTAATTTAAATTTTGAGACAGGATATTACTAAGTGGCTAAATTCCTCAAACTAGGTTTGAACTTGCAATCCTTCTGTCCCAGCCTCCCACAGTGCTGGGATTACAGGTGTGTGCCTCTATACCTGGCTCAGTTTGGTTTTAGAGATGTTATTTGCAGTAGATCAAAATGTATCAGACATGTTTAAATTCAAGCACTTTTAAATTTTTATTTTAAAATGAGTTTGAACTTACATAAAAGTTTCAGACCTGATTCAGAGTTCCTATAAACCCTTTTCCCAGATTCTGTATTTTTTTTTATATTCTTGACTCCTTTGAACATTAAATTATTATACTGGGGTATGGTGGCGCACACCTGTCCTCTCAGCACTGGGGAGGCTGAGGCAGGAGGATCACTGTGAGTTCAAGACCAGCTTGAACTACATAGCAAGATCCTGTCTCAAAAAATCCCCCAAAGGGGCCGGGGATTTAGCTCAGTGGTTTCGCCGCCTGCCTTGCAAGCGCAAGGACCCGAGTTCGATCCCCGGTACCAAAAAAGAAAAAAAAATCCCCCCAAAATTTTTAAAAAGAATATTATAGATCGCTGCCAATGGATGATTATCCAAGTCCATTGTTGAGCACTCCCCTTACTTACTGGCTCAACAAGATGTTCCAGGATGACTTCTCTTGTACTTTTCCCTGGACTTGCCTAGGAAGCAACCATTTCTCTAAGAAGCCCTGGTTCCTTTTAGCAGAGAATGATATTTAGAAATCAAGCTCTGAGAGATAAGCGTGTTCAGTGCTACCATGGTATCATTAGTTCTTGCCTTTCACCTCACAATGCATATTCATGCACGTACCTCAAGAGAGACATTTACATATCTATCTAGTCACTCACTCACCTAGCTTTATTTTATTTTATATTTTTGTGGTCCTGGGGATCAAACCCAGGGCCTTACACTTGCTAGGCAAGTGCTCAACCACTGAGATACATCTTGAACCCATCCTACCTAGCTCTAAAACCACAAGTGAATATCAGTTCCCCTAATTCAAATCTAGCAGAGCTCCTCCTGTCCTTCCCTCACTGTCAGAAACCATGGTCCCATCGTCCTCCATGTATTTACTAATTTGCCCACCTCATTTGGAACCGAACTCAGATCCACTGGCTGCCTTCGTCTACTCTCTGTTACCGTGACAAAGTACCTGAGGCCAGGTCAATTATAAAGAATAGGGGTTTATTTAGCTCACAGTTCTGGAGTCTGGGAGGGCGTAAGCATGGTACTGGCATCCGGTGAGGACCTGCTGGCTGCCTGGTGGAGGGCATCATATGGCAAAGCAGCAGGAGTGCTGGCGTGGGTCTCTCGTCCTGGTTTACTAAGCCATCATGAGTCCCCACCCTGATGACCTGTCTCCTCCTAATCATCTCTCAGACGCTCCACCTCCCAACATCATTCACTCTTGACTCTGGGATGAAGCTGCCAACTCACAGCTCCAGACGACACACCTGAACCTTAGCACTGGCCAGGACTGGCTGCAGATGTACTGCCTCCAATCCCAGCCCAGTCCCCAGCTGGATACCCCAGGGGAAAGCTTGACCCAACTCAGGGGCCAGACCCATGCACGTGACCGAAGAACATCCCAACTCATCACTTTTGAAAGCTACTTGGGAACCAACTCAAAGTTCTCCAAGTTGACAAGTGTGCTAGTTAATCTTGATTGTCAATTTGACAAGGTGGAGGGGCTCCCGGAGAGGTGATCAGGTTGCAAAGGCACTAACCTCATTGACAGTGAACCCACTGAGTTCCTAGCTAAGTGAGCTCTTAGGACCTGGGGCCTAGTTGAAGGAAGGTCACAGCCAGTGGCCTTGGGGACTACTTCCGGGCCTGTCTCCTTTCTCTCTTGCTTTTCCCCTGTGCTCTTCTTCCTACCCCACATGAGCTGAGCAGCTTTCCCCTGCCAGACCCTTCTGCCTTGATGTTTCTGTCCGGGAGCCAGCCAACCATGGACTAAAACCTCTGAAACCATGAGCCAACATAAACCTCTCTTTTAATTTTCAGGTGTCAGGTTTTTTTTGTCCCAGCAACAGGAAAGCTGACTAATCCAATGAAGAGAGGAAAGAATTAAAGCCGGTATGGTGGCACACACCTGTGATCCCAGCTACTACGAAGGCTGAGGCATCAAAAGGTTCACAAGTAGCCAGGCATGGTGGTACAGACCTGTGATCCCAGCACTCAGGAAGCTGAGGCAGGAGGATCACTGAAAGTTCAAAGCCAGCCTGGGCTGCATAGTGAGTTCAAGGCCAGCCTGAACTTCATAGCTAGACCCTGTCTCAAAACAAATAAAAAAAGAAGGGTCACAACTTTGAGTCCTACCTCAGCAACTTACTGAGACACTGTGTCAAAATGAAAAATTTTAAAATGGCTGAGGATGTAGCTCAGTGGCAGAGCTCCCCTGTATCCAATCCCCAGTTCTGCAGAAAAGAAGGAAAAGGGAGGAGGAGGAGGAGGAGGAGGAGGAGGAGGGGGAGGAGGAGGAAGAGGAAGCAGGTGGGAGGAGGAAGCAGAAGAGGAGGAGAAGATGAATTAGAATTAGGTATGCAGACTTCTACACACTGTATCTCAGGCTTGCTACATAGTATATGAGAAATGTCTTTTCATAAAAGTATTCCAACTGGACATGGTGGTGCACAAGTGTAATTCTAGCATTCTGGGAGGCTGAACAAGAGGATTGCAAGTTCAAGCCCAGCCTGGGCAATTTAGCAATTTAGTGAGATCCCATCTCAAAAAAATAAAAATAGCCAGGCATGGTGGCTCATGCCTCTAATCCTAGCACTCTGGAGGCTGAGGCAAGATGATCGCTAAGAGTTGGAGGCCAGCCTGAGCTACATAGAGAGACCCTGTCTCAAAAACAACAAACAGGCCAGGGATTTAGCTCAGTGGTTCCGCCTCCTGCCTCACAAGTGCAAGGTCCCAAGTTCAATCCCCAGTACCAAAAAAAGAAAAAGTTTGTTCAGGCCGGGGATTTAGCTCAGTGGTTCCGCCACTTACCTTGCAAGCACAAGGACCTGAGTTCGATCCCTGGTACCAAACAAACAAACAAACAAGGGCCAGGGATTTAGCTCAGTGGCATGGCCTGCCTCGGAAGCTCGAGGTCCTGAGTTTGATTTCCAGTACCAAAAAAAAATACCAGCCAAACAAAAAAACCAAACAAGAAAAATAATAAAATAAAAAGGGCTAAGGATGTGGGGATGTAGCTCAGTGCAAAGACTCTGGGTTTCAATACCAAGTCCAAAATAATAATAATAATAATAATAATAATAATAATAATAGTATTCCAGAAAGAAATGGAGAAGGGAGAGAGTTTCAGTATCACCATTTTGCAACCCTAGCGGATGATGAACCTAGGAAATGCCTACCAGCAGCTGCCAGCAGAACACCAGAGAGTCGCTGGGATTCTGCGCCTCCACAGGTACACACATGGCCTTATCTATGATGTGCTCAGTCCCGAACCCATCCAGCCTCTGGAGCAACCTACAGGAAATGCGGAGGGCAGAGAGACATGTTGAATGATTCCATAGGTGCACGGAGACAGGAAGCTGAAGGATGGGGGGAGGACAAACGAGGAGTAAATGCTTACTGGGTACTAGGTTTCTTTTCTGGGTTTTGGCTTGTTTCTTTATTTGGTTTTTTTTGTTTTTGTTTTTGTTTTTTGGTACCGGGGATCAAACGCAGGACCTTGTGCTTTCGAGGCAGGCGGTGGAACCACTGAGCCAAATCCCCGGCCCCCCAGATTGGTCTGTTGACATGTGCAGGGGTTGCTTAGATTGTTTTCTTTTTTTTTTTCTTTTTTTTAATAGTGGGGATTGAGCCCAGGGCCTTTGCTTTGGGCCACATCTTTAGCCCTTTATTTTTTATTTTGAGACAGCATCTTGCTAAGTGGCTAAATGCCCAGACTGGACTGGAACTTGTGATCCTCCCGCCTCAGCCTCCCGGAGTGCTGAGAATCTAGGAAATGCTTATTAGACATGTGTCACCACGCCTGGCTCTCTGGTTTTACCTATGTTTAAATTTTTCCATGATAAGAATAAAAAAGTTTTGGATACAGTCATTCCCTCTGTACCCTCGGGTTCCAAATCTGTGCATTTAATCAACCTTGGATGAGAAATGTTTGGAATAAAATTGAGTGTGTACTAAACATGGACAGACTTATTATTCCCTGAATAATACCTCATAAGAACTATTTACACAGGATTTCATTGTATTAGGTGCTATGAGCCATCTACAGATGATTTAAAACACGGGGAGCTGGGCATGTGGTTCAGTGACAGAACACTTGCCTAGAATGTGCAAGGCCCTGGGTTCAATTCCGATGATATCAAAAAAACCCCCAAACAAGTATGTGAGCAGCTGTATGCAAATAGTACACTGTTTTAGCTGGTCGTGGTAGTGCACATCTGTAATCCCAGCACTCGGGAGGCTGAGGCAGGATTGCCAACCTGGGCTCCACAGTGAGTTCAAGGACAGCCTGGATTATAAAGCGAGACCCTATCTCAAAATCCAAAACAGGGCTAAGGATTAGCTCAGTGGTTCTGCCGCCTGCCTCGAAAGCACAAGGTCCCGAGTTCGATCCCTGGTACCACACACACAAAAAACCCCCCCAAAAATCAAAATCCCAAACAAACAAAAATAGTACAGGATCTTGAGCATCTTGGCTTCTGGAATCTTCAGGCATCCTGGACCAGGCCCTGGAGATAGAGAGATGACTGTTGTTCGCAGACTTTTATCTGGGCATTGAACCCACTTCTTGGAGTTTTCTGGCTCATTGTAGGCTCTCAGTCTACCTTGGGAGAGGCTCTATAACTTAGTGTTTAACCTCATAGCTCCACCTTTGAAATCTGTTTGAGTCTTACTAATTGCAGGATTTCAGGCAGGTTGCTTTCTCTTCCCCACCTGTAAAATGGAGCTGGTATATTATGCCCACCTCCTTGGGTTGCTGGAAATACCACGTAATCATGCATTAAAGGTTTAACATGGTGCCTAAAAAGGCACAGGTACAATTATCACACGATGCAGCAATTCTACTTCCTCATAGATATCCAGAAGAATTGATATCAGGGGCTCATACAGATATTTGTGCAGCATGTTCATAAAGCAGTGGGATTCACACTAGTGAAAAACAGAAGCAACCCAAGTATTCACTAATAAATGGAGGAGTATGCTGGGTGTGGTGGTGCACTCAGGAGACTGAGCCTGGAGGATCACTGTGAGTTTGAGGCCAGCCTCGGCCTACATAGTGAGTTCAAGGCCAGACTGAATTACATAGCAAGACCCTGTCTCAAAATAAATAAAATAAAAAGGGCCGGGGATTTAGCTCAGTGGTGCCAATGCCTGCCTCAAAAGCACAAGGTCCTGAGTTCAATCTCCGGTACTAAAAAAAAAAAAAAAAAAATAGGTAGAGATAAATGTGACATATTCATACCAAGGAGTGTGATTTTAGCCTTAACAAGGAAAGAATTTCAGTGTTGGAATGGAGGCCAGGGCCTCCTGCAGGGAAGTGCTCTACCACTGAGCTACACCCCCAATGCAAGTCAACTTGATATTGTGTGTACTTTACAGTAATTATAAAAGGCTTAAGAGTAGGACCTGAGGCTGGAGATGTGGCCCAGGGGTAAGGCATTTGACTGACTTGTGTGAGGCCCTGGGTTCCATTCCCAGTGTTGAAATACAAAAACAAAAAACAAAAACAAAAACCAGGCCCTGGTCCATGGCAAGACGTGCTTATCAAGTCACTTAGCATAATTAAAACAGCATCCTGGGCCTGTGGCCCCCGAGGAAGAGGAAGCCGGCCAGTTCCTGCCACCCCGGTGCAGCGTCCCAGACCAGTGTGCACCGGCCTGGAGCATGTGGGACCCGCCTTGGCGCTTGGACCCCGAGGTCCCCTGCCACCGTCAGCCTTGGCCCTGGGTCCGCGCTGGCCTGGGTCACACTTGGGCCAAAGGCCTGGGCTTTGAGTGCTTCTCTAGGAGGGTCTGTGAGAGTCCAGAGCAAGGTAGGGTGGCCAGAACCCGGTCTCAACAGGACAGGGGTCCCCACGGTGTCCAGGGCACGCGTGGGCTCCTGAGGCACAGGCTGAAGCATACAGAACTGCTGCCGGGCGTCCCGTGAGGGGACACAAATGGCCAGGGCAATGAGGATGGCGACGCCTCCTCCTCACGCCAGCCCTGCCCGCGTGGGCTGGGGAGAAGCTGGAGCCTGGGAAGAGAGAGGGGAACCCCCATCCTCCCACGGTCCCCCTCAGGCCTCAGAGAACCATCCCCGGAGGAGCAGCGGCAGATGGAATGGGTGCGCCTGCGGCCAGCTACCCAAGCCATCCCCGCCAGAGGGCGCCCTGGGGCGCCGGCCCGCCCTCCGTGCCTGTACCCTGGGGACCCCGGGGACCATGGCCTTGGCCCTTGGCAAGCGCGGGGACTGCCCTGGCGTGGGGGACACGCAAGCGGGATGGAGAGAAAGAAGACAGAGGCTGCGCAGGTACTGTACAGGAAGTGGCTGATACATTTTAGTAACGGGCAACAGTGCAGGGGCCAAGGGAGAATAGGAGACCGAGAGCGGGGGTCTGCCGTAAATCTTACAAAGTGTATAAAGAATCTGTGTTTCTCTACAGTAACAAAAACCAAAGGCTACAAGAGCGGTTGTATATACAAAACACGGAGATATTGCTTCACTCGAAAACAGGTTCCTGACCAGACGGGGGGACAAGACGGGGCGCTGTGTGCAGGGGCGGGCGGGCGGGCGGGGTCCTCTCCCGGCGGCGTGGCGGCCCGGAAGACGGCGCCCTGGAGTCCACCTGGAGCACGGGGCACCCGGCTCCCGGCTGCGGGCTCCGCCTTCCCGGCCGCCTGGAGGCCTCGCCCGGGTCGGGACGCCGGGCAGGAGGGACGTGCACGCGCGCGGCCGCGGGGCGTCACAGGTTCTGGCAGCACTGCAGCTTGTTGGGCTTCTGTCCGTCGGTGGTGGGGGGCACGCTGATGTCCACCACGTTGTTGCCGGGGGACTCATCGTGCGCCGCGCGGTCAGCGATCTGCTTCTGTGACACGATGCGGTAGATCTCTGCAACCGGGAGGAGCCGGGATGAGCGGCCGATCAAGGGCAGCGAGTCCCCTCCTCCCTCTGAGGGGTGTGGGAAACCACAGCGCCCTGGGAGGCCCAGCCTGGAAGCGGGGAGGGGTCTCGGCTGCCCCCCGCAGTGTGCTGCGTCGCCCGCCCGCGGTCCGGGTGTAAACAGTGAGGGCACACGAGCCGGCGCCCACCTGTGAGGATGTTCTTGAACGCTTCCTCTACGTTGGTGGAATCCAGGGCTGAGGTCTCAATGAAGGACAAGTTGTTCTTTTCTGGAACAGAAGACACACCTGGCCTGGCTCCCACGCCCCTCTCACGCAGCCTGCCCACGGCCCTGGCCCAGCACCGAGGGCAGGTGCCGAGCGGCAGCCCCGAGAGGTCGGCTCCCGAGGCAGGAGGCTGGCACGGGGCCAAGGCCACCCGCCCCCACGCTTCTCTAAAGCCTGGGCCAGGCCCGCTCCGAGCACACAGCCCTGCCACCCGCCCCTCACCTGCGAAGGCGCGGGCCTCGTCGGTGGGCACGGCTCGCAGGTGCCGCAGGTCGCTCTTGTTGCCCACCAGCATGATGACGATGTTGCTGTCCGCGTGGTCGCGCAGCTCCTTCAGCCAGCGCTCCACGTTCTCATAGGTCAGGTGCTTGGCGATGTCGTAGACCAGCAGCGCCCCCACCGCGCCGCGGTAGTACCTGTGGGCCACAGTCCAGTGTGAGGCTGCGGGCGGTGACCACAGCCTCGTGTCCCAAGGCCCCAGCTCTGCCCCCCAGGCTTGGCTCAGGGCTGGAGGACACCGTGATGTTATTCACTAAGCGGGGCCAGGAGGCAGCCGGGCAGCTCTGCAGCCCCACGCAGGCCTGGCCTGGACCTCGGAGGTGGACAGAGGCCCATCCACCCCTGGGGCGGGACCTGGGGCGGCACCTGGAAGACGGTGAGGTGACAGAAGGACTGATGGTGCGGGGACAGCGAGGGGCTGAAAGGGGCCCAGAAAACAAAACCCTGTGTGCTGTTGTGCTTTTTGGAGAAATGGAGACTGAACCCAGGTCCTTCACTCTGAGCTACATCTCCAACCCTTTTTATTTCTCTTTGAGACAGGATCTCATTGTGCACCAGGAAGGACCCGGAGTCTTGGCGTGGCCAAGGCTGGGTGCTTGTGTGCCTGAGGGTCCCAAGACTCTGGGGGACTCTGGCTGTGGAGGCTGGGTGCCCCTCCATGCTCCTCTCCCTCGTCTCAGGAGTGTTTGCGCTTGCCCAACTCCTACACACCCCTGCAGGCCCTGCGCCCTGGCCCGACACGCACGCGGAGGTGATGGCGCGGTAGCGCTCCTGCCCAGCAGTGTCCCAGATCTGTGCCTTGATGGTCTTGCCGTCCACCTGGATGCTGCGGGTGGCAAACTCCACGCCGATGGTGCTCTTGCTCTCCAGGTTGAACTCGTTGCGGGTGAAGCGCGACAGCAGGTTGCTCTTGCCCACGCCTGAGTCCCCGATGAGCACCACTTGGGGGGGGGGGGAAGGTGAGGTGAGGATCTGTTTTTTTTGTGGTTTTTTTTGGTACCGGGGATCGAACTCGGTACCTTGCACCTTCATGGCAGGTGGCAGAACCACTGAGCTAAATCCCCGGCCCTGAGGTGAGGATCTGTAAGGACCACATGGCCCCTCATCCACCCACAGAATCCCCCCATGGCAACGGAGATGCTGGGAGGTCACTTGCAGGCACCGCAGTGACCAGTGCGGATGCAGGGGAGGCTTTGAGCCTCCAGAAGCAGCCAAAGTGGACAGGACAACACTGCTGCCTGCCTCTGGTCCTCTGAGGAAGGCTGTCCTGGCTGGGGCACGCGGACACGCCAGGCAACCCTGCAGGTGGGGTGGCTTGGGATCTGCCGACCCCGAGCCTGGTGGCTGGGCAGCCAGGAGCAGCCTGCAGCTGGGGGCCCTGGCATAGGCCCCCTAACCTCTCTGGGCCACTTTTCCACGTGTGTGAACAGGAAAGCAGGACCAGGCTGTCTCAGGAGGAAGAAGTGAAAGAGCTCAGAGTCAGGACCCAGGCAGCATACAGAAGGACACAAGTGAGCAGCCGTCATCATCATTGTTGTGGTTTTGTATGGAGCGTGGGAAGGGTCAAAATTCCACAGCGTCATTTCTTGTGAAGGTCTGTGTTGGCATTTAAAGTGACTGGAAGTGAAAAGCTACCACCCACTCATGTTTCCACCCACATTCATCCCAGCACTGACCTTTCCCTGAGGAACAGGAATGCATCCTCTGCATGCAGCCCTGAAGGTGGATTTTTTTTTAAATGGTGCTGGGGATTGAACGCAGGAAGCACTGAGCCACATCACCAGCTGTTTTCCTATTTTTTAATTTTTAATTTTGAGGGCTAGGGGTGTGGCTCAGGGATAGAGTACCCCCGTGCACGGGTGAGGACCTAGCTTCAATACCAGTACCACAAAAACAAAACAAATCCAGATCCGCTCTCATCTCATCCAAAGCCTGTTCTCCTCACAGCCCCAAGAGGGTGGCCGGAAACACGGAAGTCAGGTCCTGCCCCTCTCGGCCTTCCAGGCTCCCATCTGCCTAGGGTGGAAGCTCACGTCCTCCTAGGGACCCACAGGGCTCCCTGCGACCTGCCTGCACTGACCCCTCTGCCTCGTCTCCCACTACCCTTGAAGAGCTGGGGACTGAACCCGCGCCTCAGCAATGAGCTGCATCCCCAGCCCTTTCAAATTTTGATTTTTGAGACAGGGTTTGGCTAAGTTGCCTAGGCTGGGCTGGAATCTGAGATCCTTCTGCCTCAGCCTCCCTGAGTGTCTCGTTCCTCGCTGGATCCTCAGACCCTGCATGGCACAGAGCTCGATACGCAGCACCAAACGTCAGCCCAGTGAACAAACTAATCCCAAAGTGGGTCGCAGAGGCCCCTGGGCCCACCTCTGACACCCACACACACCTGAAGATGCCCGGTCAGGCACCACCCCTGGGTCACAGGTAGGGGCAGGGCCAGATCAGCCAGCCCCCCACAATCCAACCTAGAACTCCTCTGGGCTGCTGCTTTAGGCCCAAGAATAGTAAGACTGGGCGGAAAAGGAGTCTGTGTTAAAATAGCATCTGGTGTGCATCACCTCATACAGCCATTTTACGGACGAGGAAACTGAGGTTCCGGTGGGGAATGAGCCCAGGGCACACGGCGAGCAGGGGTCTGGAGCCTGTTCGTAGGTACAGGCTGCCTCCCTGCCTGACCACGTCACCAAGCAATGACACAGCCGGGCCACCTGCCTGGGAAGCAGTCCAGGCAGAATGTGAACCCAGATCTGGGCAAAGGCCTGAGTTCTTTCGGTCCCAACTTGGGTCCTCCCTGCTGGTCTCCCTGCACTTCTGGCCTGTGCCTAGCATGTGGCCCAGGGATCTTGGTTCTGCCTTGTGTAGGGCACTGAGTCCCCAGCCACCCCAGCCTGAACTCTGGAAGCACACACACACACACACACACACCCCAGTCTGGAATCTGGACACACACACACACACGCCTCTCCAGCCCCTACCATCTGGGGCACCCTGTAAACTCCTGCGTACCCTTCAAGACCCCTCAGTTCAGGGCTCTACTCTCTCTCACATCACCTGGCCTGGCCCACGAGACACATGACAAGACCAGCATCTGACCATGGCTGCCAAGTTCAGCAAGAGATGGGAAGAGACAGAGCCGGACATGGGCCTGCAGGCAAGGCCAAGGTCGCCCAACCAAGAACTGGGCCCCAGGTCCTGTGGGCCAGACTGGGCTGACTGCAGGAGACTGTCCACACCCCCACCCTTCACATCCTTGCCACAGTGGACACAGGGCCTGGCCAGGGCTGGGGAGCTTTGCCCCTAGTTTTCACATCCTTCACACTGGAACAGGAGGCTGAAGTGGGAGCATACGCCTGTGATCCTGGCACTCAGAAGGCTGAGGCAGGAGGATTGGTGCGAGTTCCAGGCCAGCCTGGGCTACATAGTGAGTTCAAGGCCAGCCTGAACTACATAAGTAGGCCCTGTCTCAAAAAATAAACAAGAAGAGGGCCAGGAATTTAGCTCAGTGGTTCCACCACCTGCTTTGCAAGCACAAGGTCCTGAGTTTGATCCCTGGTATCAATCAATCAATCAATCAATCAGAAGAATGGGAAGGGAAGCTCAGGCCATACTGGGGATTCCTCACACCCCCGTTTCTACCCACCCTTGCCTCAGTTGTACAGTTTCAGGGCCCAGAGCCCCAGCAAGCATGCTCCACCCTGGCCAACAACCTCCACCTAATAGTCATGCAGGCCTCAGCTTGTTGCATTCTAGGGGTCACCCAGGGACCCATGTAGGCCCGCAGCATTTCCACTGCATGGCGAGGGACACCAGACCCGGGGCAACCACGTCACCAGCCCAAGGTCACCCAGAGGGAACAGTGGACCAGGGCAGGACCAGGGAGAACCACCACTGCCCAGCTGAGCCACAGGGAGGCAGCTGCTTCAGCCGTCCCTGGCACAGGGCACCTGACGCAGAGAGGTAGCCAGCGGGGCAGCGGCCAGGCTGGCCCCATGCACAGGCTGGGAATGAAAATGGCATTGTCAGGAGCACAAACTATCTGCTGTCTCAGGGAAATAAAGGGCCCTTGAGGACATGGCCCCCGGCATTTCCAGAGAAGTCGGTGGCTTCACTAGCCCGGAACTGATCACCCTGGATAGGCCACTTTGGCTCGCAGAGCCAGCAAGCCCAGTTGGCAAAAACAGAGTGCTGGAACCTCTCAGAACCCCAAACACTCTGCAAAGGAGGCTCTCCCCACCCCGACCCTGGAACTGGGCGTGGGAAGCATTCTTGCCTCAGCTCTTCTCTGGGAACACGCACCCAAGCTGGGGCACCAGCAGGGTCCCTGATGCTATGTTTGGGTCCCAGCACGTCTGGAGAGGGTCTTGTCCAGGTGGGAGGGCACTGAGCTCTGGGACTGGCCTGTTTCTTGGGGACCAGCACCTCTCTCTCCTCGGGCAGCGTGGACATGACCCAAAGGAAAAGACCCAGGGCCTGCAGCCAGCTTCCCACATGACCCAGGCCCTCAAGGGCCAGGTAGGCTCTGACTGGGCAGGAGCTCTGGAAGGGCCTCGGTGGTCCGTGGGGACACAAGTGCTCGTACTGTGGGCCCCACGGCCCAAGTCCATCAGAGGAGAAATCGGGGTACCCTGGGGACCAATCAGCAGGCTGGGAAGATGGCCCCTGCCGGCAGGATACATGTGAGGATCTATAATTAGGTACAATAAACAACCCCACTCTGAGGGAAAAGAAGAATGTTGGAGGAAGAAAACAAGAACTCCACCCTGGGGACCCACTAGCCTTGGCCGCTAGGTCATGGGAGCCCGTGTGGGACATAGCTGCCAACAGAGACAAGGTGGCGAGTGGGGAGGACGGGCAGCCAGGTCCCAAGCACAAGATGTGGCCCTCCAAGCCAGGGGCTCAGTCAGGCAGGGCACCCAACGCCCAGGCCAGAGTGTGCGGCGGGGGGCTCCTAGGGGGATCCCCACAGGGCCAGAGACCCACACGGGGCCGGGCCTGTGCCTGTCAATGCCGCCAGTGCCATTATGTTTTGGAAGCCACTCCAAGGCCAGGCCATTGCTGTTGCTGGCGCAGGATGGACAGGCCACGGGGCCTCAGGCTGGATATGGCGGCCCACACCTGTAATCCCAGCACTCAGGAGGCTGAGGCAGGAGGATCACAGCAAGTTTGAGGCCAGCCTGGGCTACAAAATGAGCTCCAGGTGGGCCTGAACTACATGGTGAGACCATGTCTCAAAAAACAAACAAACAAACAAACAAAACAAAGAGAAAGGCACCAGCCAGGGCAACACATTCACATTTCTGGACAGAGCCCAGCTCATTAGAGCAAGTAATGTCACGGAAGTACCCTGTCTCCCCACTGGCTCCCTCCCTCCCTTTTTAATTTTCCAGAGCCAAAGCACTCTCTTCCTATTTAATGGAACAGACTTTAGGACACATATTGGAAGAGAACAGGGGTGGGGAGTGGGGGCGTGTCCCTGAAGGACAAGTAAGTTGTGAAGGGGTGACCTGGGGCGATCACTTTGGGAAGCGCTGGTCTCGTGGGTCAACGTTTGCTCCTAGGCAGCTGATGAAGGTCAGTGAGGCACCTGCCTCACCCCAAAAAAGAGGCCACTGGGGCTGGCAGCCCGCCCCCCCGCCCGCAGTGTTTCCAGGAAGCAGGCTCCGGAGCCGAGTCTTGGGAACCACATTCTACTCTGCTGCCCCTGACCCAGTAACTATACTTCTGGGAACGTGCATCAAGGAAATAACCCAAAGGGCAAAGAGAAGGCTCGGTGAAAGCTCAGAGCGGGTTATTTATAACAGCAGAAGGTTGAAACTAACAAGCAGGGAATGACCACAGAGCCTGGAATCTGACAACAAGGGGGAAAGGTCCCCTGCCCTGGCAGTGCCACGTGCCGGGCCCCGCAGGACATGGGAGCACCTGCCTCTGTGGGGCTGAGGACGGCACCTGCTCCAGCAAGACTGGTGCCTAAGCCACCCGGCCAGGGCCTCAGTGGCTGAGGCCCAGAAGATGCCAAGAAGCCGGTGACCCCTAGGCCCGTGGGGACGAGAAATTAGAGGCCTCAAGACACGGAGGGAGCCTCACCAAGCCATTGCTACCTGACCTACCTGGGCCTCACTCGTGTCTCGACAGCCCCAGTCCCTCAGGCAAGGGCCATGGTCCGGCGGGACGGCTGGGGCCTGAGCTGACAGTGCCCTTGTGCTGAGGAAGGAAGTGTAGCGACCCCAAGACCCCGATCCAGGACATAAACTCGTTTTCTCAGCGCCAAAGCCCAGTGCCCTCCAGGGTTCAATGTTGCCCCTACCCTTATGAACATTTCCCAGGCTGTTTCCCAGTCTGCACCACAAAGAGGGGACAGATTATATCGGCCTCATAGGTCGCAGTGAGGATTCAAACGAGGCCGAGAAAAAGTGCTCGGAAAAGTGCAGCTTCTGGGTCAGTGCTACCAAGAATAAGGACAATGAGGGGCCTGGGATTTAGCTCAGTGGTTCCGCCGCCTGCCTCGCAAGGTCCCAAGTTCGATCCCCAGTACCAAAAAAAAAAGGGAAGAAATCAGTGTTGAACACACAAGGACCCCTTCACCTAATCCCGGATCAGCAAGCACTACAGTCGAGGGCTCCCCACCAACGACATTCCCGCCTCCGCCTCCATGGTTTTCCCCGCCCCTAGCGGGCCCCGCCCCCACATGCCGCTCCAATCAGAACTGACCACATAAGAGCCCGCCCTTTAGCACCCAGGCCCAACCTACCACTTGACTCTGCCCACAGCGGCCAGGCCCCGCCCCCAACGGCCCCGCCCCCACCCGAGTCCAGCTTTCAACCCAGCCCGCCAAATCCTGGTGAGGCCCCGCCCCTTCACAGGCCCTGCCCCTAATGGCCTCTCCCTCCGCTCTGGGCCCCACCCCCCCGGGGCCCCGGCCCCGCCTCGGCGCATCCAGAATCTCGAGGTCTCTTTGGACCTCCTGTTTCTCACATCCCCGCGCTCTGGGCGAACTAAGCGCCTGGCCTGTCCCGGGCTGCCCGACCGCCGGGCCTAAACCGCAGGCAGGCTCCAGCTTGGGCCTAGCGGCCCAGAGCGCGACCTCGGCCTGCCTGTCCGTCACCTCGCTGCCACGCCCATTCTCGTCTGTGCCCTACTGGCCGTACCTTTAAATAGGTAGTCGTACTCGTCGTCCCGGGTCCCCATTGTCCTGGCGCTTCCGGCGGGATCGGCGACTCCGCAGCCCCACCACAGACACCCGAGGGGGGGCGGAGCCGGCGCTGCGCAGAGCGGCGGTCTCTTGACCAATCAGCAGCGGAAGAAGTAACGACCGGCACCCAGTCCAGCCAATTAGAAGCAGAAATATAGCTCTGGGGGTGGGTGCTTTCTAGGATCCGCCCGCTTCGCTCTCGGTCTCCTGGAGAAAGGCGGAAGGAATGCGGATCTTTCTGAAGTGACAGCCTTTACAGCCTATCAGAGGTAGCGTTAGGAAGGCGGGGCGGAAGACTGGAAGAATGAAACAGATTGAAGGAATGTGTAGCCAATAAAAGACTTGATTCCGTCCCTACCCTAGGACCAGGGGATCTGTCGGAGGAGGGAAAAGTTACTACGTCCAGGTGATGTTATGCTGCTTACCGTCCGGATGACATCATAGGTCAGTGTGCGTGGCACTGGCCTCGCCCCCAGCCTATAAACGATCATTTCCGTGGGCCTCTGCTCTGTGTGGTTTTTTTTTTTTTTTTTTTTGTACCGGGGATCGAACTCGGGACCTTGCTCTTGCGAGGCAGGGGCCGGAACCACTGAGCTAAATCCCCGGCCCCCTCTGCTCTGTCTGTTGCAGTTTCCATCCGTACCCTACTGATTTACTGTCTTAACGCCTCTGTTCGTACAAACAGGGTTGAAACCCACCTGAATACATACTGACTCAACAGTCCACATTTTAACAAAAAAATTTTTTTTTTGTACCGGGGATCGAACTCGGGCCCTGCAAGGCAGGTGGCGAAACCACTGAGCTAAATCCCCGGCCCTCATTTTAACAATTATTTAGGGGTTCGGGGTGGCAGAGCGCTTGCCTACCATGTGAGGCCCTAGGTTCCATCCCCAGCACCACAAGAGGAGGAAAGATGAGGGCACTTTCCAAAATGACCTTCACTGTCCTATAGGCTTTATACCTTCTGATGGTTTTTGTTTGGTTTGGGTTTTTTTTGGTACGGGGGATCGAACTCTGGTCTTTGTGCTTGTGAGGCAGGCGGCAGGCGGCAGAACCGCTGAGCTAAATCCCCAGCCCAAGGCTTTATACCTTCTAACATTAAAGCATGTATTTATTTTATATATTTAAAGTGTCCTGCAGCTGAACAAATTAACCTATCCATTCTCTTTCATCCCTACCTTTGAGTATGTAAAATCTGCACTCTTGGCAAATTTTCAGTATATGTTGCAGTATTACTAAGTGCAAAGCATTATCACTTTCTTGATCCGGTGATCAGTTTAATTCCTCTCCCCTGACAACAGAATATCAGCCTGAGGAAGGCAGCGATTGTATGTGTCCGTCATCGTTGTATCCCTGTGCTAAATTAAAATGTGATGAGTATCTAAGCATAATGCTGATGTGCTGAAAATCTTTCCCCATATTCGCTCTTGTTTGTCCAGCCTCATGGAGCTGATAGTCTGGGGGCAGGCGAGTCAGACAAGAAGCAAGTGGTCAACCCTGGAAGGCACCCTGGAGGAAGCAGCCTTCCCACTGAGTCCTGAGGCAGGAGTGGACTGTGGCAAGGGGTTGATAAAATACCTGGAGCCAGGACATTTGTATAGAATTGGAAGTTGATTTTCCTCATATCTCTGTAGGCCTGGAAGTGCCAGAGCACAGCTTCCGGTGAGAGCCTTTACACTGTATCACACCAGGGTGGCAGGGGGCATGGCGAGGCCGGAAGCTAATTAACTTCTGCTTTTTGGGGGGGGGTGCTGGGGATTGGACCCACGGCCTTTCCACTGAGCTACATCCCCAGCCCTTTTTTTATTTTGCATCTTGAGCCATGGTCTAAGTTGCCCGGACTGAACTCAGACTTGCAGTCTTACTCCTGCCTCATCTTCCAGAGTGCTGGGATGACAGGCATGCGGCACCATGCCCGGAGAGCGTGTACACTTTTGGGGGACAGATTCAAACTATAGCAGAGGGAAGGAAATGAGGGGAAGAGGATTTCAGGCTGAAGAAATAGAAAGTGAGAGAAACCTACAAAGAGTCCAACTGGCCAGGAAGCCATGAGGGGTAGAGAGGGCTCTGCAGGGATGAGTTTAGGAAAGCCCTCCGACGGGGAGCTAGGGTGGCAAGGACCTTTGTCAGCAAATCCTGGGCAGCAGTTCGAACCTTCTTCCCACCCCTGTTTCCCACCCCATTTCCTGCCCACTTTACAGCCAGGTAGAACAAGTCAGGGTCTCACTATGCAATCCAGCCTGGCCTTGAACTCACTCTGTAGCTCAAGCTGGCCTTGTACTCTGGGCAATCCTCCTGCCTCAGCCTCCCAGGTGCTGGGATAACAGATATGCACCACCATCCCCAACTTTCCTCATCATTCTTGCAGAATGTCATCCTCAGAAAACCAACCCGGGGCTAGGAGCATAGCTAAATCATAGTGTGATACCTAAGACCCTGGGTCAAACCCCAGAACCCCACATCCCATTCCGCCCCAAAAAAAGGAAAAAAAAAAAGAAAACCAACTCAAAGTTATCTTCACCATGAAGTTGCTCCCGTTTCAGTCACTGCCTGCCTCCCTCCAGCGTGGTTCATCGTAATACTACAGTCAGGAGGCACAGGACAACTGCTTTGGCCAACAATGGACCACACAGTAGGTCCTGGCACTCCCATAAGAGTATCATCAAGCTACAAGCATGGTCGAAGGTGCCTGAGGGAAGAGCACTTGAGCCTAGGAGTTTGAGGCCAGCTTGGGAAACATAGTGAGAGCCAAGGCAATCTAAAAAACATATAATACCAGGTATGGTGCCCCACACCTGTCATCCCAGCACTCTGGAGGCTGAGGCAGGAGGATCACTGCAAATTCGAGGCCAGTCTGGGGTACGTAGTGAGTTCAAGGCCAGCCTGGACTATAGAGAAAGACCCTGTCTCAAAAGACCAATCAATAAAAAGGGTAATAATGGAGCTGAAAAATTCCTATTGCCTGATGACATCATAGCCATCATAATGTCATAGCAAGACATATTCCTGATACATTTATGGTGATGTTTGTGTGAACAAATCTAGTGCAGTGCCAGTCATATCAAGTCTAGCAACACAGTACGTCATGCTTGATAATGTTATAATAAATGCACAAATGTTACTGTTTTATGAATTTACCATTCTGTACTTTTATTGTCATTTTAAAGTATACTCCTACTTACAAAGAACAAATTAAGCCGGGCGTACTGGTGCACACCTGTCATTCCAGCATTCTGGATGCTGAGGCAGAAGGATCACTGCAAGTTCAAGGCCAGCCTGGGTTGCATAGTGAGACCTTGTCCCCAAAACAAAACAAAAACCCTTCCTTCAAAACAAGTTTGACTCTAAGTAGTCTGCTGTGTTTCTCCATCAGTAGCCGCAACAATTTCATGTTTTCTGTGAGCTTTGGTGTGGTGGTGCACACCTTTGATCCCAGCACCCTGGGAGGCTGAGGCAGGAGGATCACAAGTTCAAGCCCAGGACCAGGGATTTAGCTCAGTGGTTCTGCTGCCTGCCTTGCAAGTTCAAGGACCTGAGTTCGATCCCCAGTACCAAAAAAAAAAAAAAAAAAATCAAAGGACAAGTTCAAGCCCAGCTTGGACAACCTAGCAACTTAGCAAGACCATGTCTCAAACTAAAAAGAAAAAAAGGGCTGGGGGTAAAGCTGTAGGTCAGTGGGAAGACTATGGGTTCAATCCCCAATACCGCAGGTAGGTAGAGAGATAGATAGATAGATTGATTGATTTTAAAAAGAGGCTAAATCTCATGACTGACTCGGGCAGAGTCCCAGAGAAGCTGCAGTGTCCCCAGGAGCAACTAAGAAAAGTCATGGGACAGGGAAATTACCATTTTCCTTTAGCCCCAGAAGCCCCTATATTCTCCATGAGGGACCCTCAGAAAGCTGGGTAGAGGAGGCACCAGGTAAAGCTGGGTTCACTGTTAAAACAGCAGCTGGCTCAGGACACAAGCAGATGTTGTTTTTCCAAAATACATGTCCCAGAGACATGGTATCTGTTATCAGGAGCTTTGCAAAGTGTGGGAAGACGGTTACCAGTGGTAGAGGTGATTGTTTTGTTTTGCTTTTTATTTATTATGGGTTTTTTTTGTACCGGGGATTGAACTTGGGTCCTTGCGCTTGCGCAACAGGTGGCAAAACCACTGAGCTAAATCCCCGGCCCCGAGGTGATTGTTTTTTAATATTTCCTCTTTGTTTTCCTTTGTTTTCTTTCCTTGCTAGGATGGAGCCCAGGGCTGCAAGTTGCTGGGCCAGTGCTCTACCAACTGAGGTATATCCCAACGCATTCTCAGGCCTCTGTCCTGAGCTACGTCCCCCACCCTTTTGTTTTATTTTTTATTTTAAAACAAGGTTTCACTAAATCACTAAATTGCCCAGGCTGGCCTCAGTTTTCAACTCTCCTGCTTCAGCCTCCCATGTAGCTGGGATTACAGGTGTTTACCACCCTGCAGGGTCTCCCTTTATCTCTTGCTTCCCCCCACCCTCTAGTACTGGGCATTGAACCCAGGGGCTTTGCCCTGAGCTACAACCCCATCCCTTTTTATTATTTTATCTTGAAACATATGCTCACTAAATTGCTGAGTCTGGACTCAAACTCATGACCCTCCTGCCTTAGCCTCCCAGTAGCTGAGATTGCAAACATGAGCCACCTCACCCGGCTTCATCTCCCTTTTCTTTCCTTTTTTTTTTTTTCCGGTACAGGGGATCGAACTCGGGTCCTTGCGCTTGTGCAGCAGGCAACAAAACCACTGAGCTAAATCCCCGTCCTTCATCTCCCCTTCTAACGGAGAATGGAAGCAGGTTTAGAGACCTCAGAAGGCAAGAGTCTGACTGCAATTTTTCCCCCAAATTTTACTATGGAAAATTTTAAATGTTTAGAAAAATGGAAAGAATTGTACAGAGAATATTTATATCCCTCCCGCCATCCAGGGTTTAACATTAAATTTTTGCTTGCTCATGTAACTATCTGTCTTTATTTTGGGGGGGACAAGTTCTCGCTGTGTAATTCAGGCTGGCCTTTAACTCACTATGTAGCCCGAGCTGGCTGCCTCAAACTCATGGCATCCTCCTGCCTCAGCCTCCCCAGTGCTAGGATTACAGGTGTGCACCACCACGCCAGGCTCATACACTTATCTCCTATGTGAATTTATGACCCACCCCCTTTTATTTAGTGCTGGGGAAGGAACTCCAGGCCCTTACTACTTTAACCACATGTTCTATCATTAAACCCCCATCATCTTTTTAAAATTATTATTCATTTCAAAGAAAATTGAAGACTTGAATCCACTTCTAAAACTTCGGGATACACCCGGATGTGGTGGCACATGCCTGTGATCCCAGCACACAACAGGCTGAGACAGGAAGATCACAAGTCCCAGGCCAACCTGGGCTACATAATGAAATCTTATCTCATAAACAAATAAATGTATAAAACTGAAGTATGCATGTTATTAGAGCTCAGTATTTGTTTATGGCTCTTTTGTAGTTTAAGGTAAAATGTACATACAATGAGCTGTGCAGGTTTTAAGTATTCATTTGCTGAGACAAAGGCTTACTTTGGAGTAACCCACTTACTCCTGGTTGTCTTGTCATCTCCTCTTCCTCCTCCTCCTCTTCTTCCTCCTTCTCCTTCTGTTTTGGGGAACCCAGGGCCTCATATGTGGTAAACAAGCACTCACTGTACCACTAAGCTACGCCCCCAGACCAGAAGCTAGAATTTTTTTTTTTTTTTTTTGACACAGGGTCTTCCTGTGTTGTCCAGGCTGGCCTTGAACTCACTATGTACCCCAGCCTGGACTAGAATTTCCAGCAATCTTTCTGCCTCAGCCTCCCAAGTGCTGGGATCACAGGTGTGTGCCACCGCCTGGCTGACAAACTAGAATTCTGAAGCACAGTCCCTGTTTTATGGTTGACTGATAGTACTTTTTCAGATTTGGTAGAGACATGCTTACATTTTAAAAATCTAGGCCAGTCATTCCTGGGAGTGAGCTACTTCATATATACCCAACTTTTTTTGGTATCGGGGATTGAACTCAGGACCTTGCACTTTCGAGGCAGGCGCCAGAACCACCGAGTTAAATCCCTGGTCCAACCAGCTTAATTATTAACAGCAACCCATTTACTCTCAAAGGTGTCCTAGTTTGGGCCATCAGACAAGGGTCACCCTATCTCTGAGGGAGGGGCTGTGATGGGCAGCTCAGGAGGACAGAGGTCTTTCTGTTCCCTGGAGTATCCCAGGCATAGGGCTTGGTGTGTAATAATTGCTCAATAAATATTAGTTGAGTTTGTATTACCAAAAACAAAGGTCAGTTTAAAGGAAAACTGTAAACTGGGTGTGTTAGTGCATGCTGTGATTGCAGAACTTGGGAGGCTGAGGCAGGAGGATCACCTTGAGTTTGAGGCCAGCCTGGGCTACACAAGGAGTTCCAGGCCAGCCTGGACTATGTAGTGAGACTTTGTCTCAAAAAAACAAAAAAAAGCAAAAGGAAATTTGTAGATTCCAACATAGATAATCTATAGAATCCTGTTTTAGTATTTGTATCACACCTTTGGTATCCAATATGGCAGCCATGGCTACCAGGAAGAATAAAATTAAATGTACCACATGTACTGTATTTTTTGTCTGATGGCAAGAAATTAAAAGGTTAAATATGACTCATATGCTTAAATAAATATGATCGAGAAAAGGTTTGCATTTTTTTCTATCACTTGCATCTATAGCAAAGGAACTGCATGAGATCTTTGTTTCATGATTTTGATAATAAAAAGGGGCCACATCATGAAATAATAAACTAGGGGAGCCACGTGTGGTGTTCCGCTCCTATAATCCCAGCACTCTAGAGGCTGAGGCAGGAGGATCACTGTGAATTGGAGGCCAGCCTGGGCTACATAGTGAGTTCAAGGCTAGCCTGGACTGCATAGAGAGACCCTGTCTCAAACAAACAAAGAAACTACCTAAGGGAACCAGATTTGGTTGTGAGAGGTGGGAGGGCTAACAGTTCTATCCTTGAGGGACCCAGGGCACATTCACACTTGGGAACATGTTTACATGGACTTAAAACAGCCTGGTTTTCAAAAACAAACTAAAGGACAACGAAGAACAAAATGTTCCGAGGTTGCTTTTATTCCAAGAACTCCGTGAGCTCTGCCTGGCCACCACCGCTGGCATCGCAGCACCACATGTGACAGCACCATGAAGGCACCCAGGGCCCGAGGGCCCCGTCCTGGCCAGTCAATGTGACTGAGTCCGCTGTTGAGGGCCAGCCTGGCCATCCCTGTTGGTCCCTCCACGTCCCCACTCCTCGGGCGGGCGAGAAGTGGCCTCAATGCCCCTTGGCCCCGCATGCCAGAATCTGCCTCGCCCTGAACCAGGATCCTCCCGGAGGGCACTGTGTGCATCTGATCGGCAGGGGGGGTCTGCAGTCACGGCGCCTTCTCTGTCCACCAGGCTCCTGGCAATCCCTGCTCAGACCACACGCCCAGGAAGAAAGCAGCCACATCCTTGGGCCACAGCCAAAGTCACTGTCCTCTACCGCCCAGCAAGGAGCTAGGAGGCCGCGGCATCCTCTGAGGGCTGCATCAGCATGGTAGTGGACTGCAGGGGGTAGTAGCGCCCCCGCCAGGTCTTCCAGAAGATCCCCTTCTTCCGCTGCTGCCGCTGCCGGGGAACAGAGCGGAAGTACTGGCCGTTGAGGTTGGAGTGGCCACAGGTGCCAAACCACCAGCCACCTGTTGGGGTCAGAGAAGAGAGGACCGATCACGATCACATCCCAGGCCTTCACGTGAAGGTGGAGAGAAGGGTGGAGGCGAGGCTGGGCTTCTGACATTACACATTTCAAATGGGAAGACTCCGGTAGTGATTATCAAGCTGTATTACAGGGACGCTCAGGTTGCAAACAGCATCTCACTATGTAGCCCAGGCTAGGGTGGAACTTGGCAATCCTCCTGCCTCAGCCTCCCAGGTGCTGGGATTACAGGAACCCCGGGTTGTGACAAAGTAGTTTCAGGGACCTTGGGTGTTCCCTTCTCTGTACTCACAGTGAATCAATCAGTTTTTGTGGTCCAAGAGCATAGCCAGCTATAGTACTTCTCTATACCTGACACATGGCTTTTTCTCTTTTTTTGGTGACCTTTTTTTTTTCCAGTACCAGGGATTGAACTCAGGACCTCAAGCTTGCCAGGCAGGCGCAGCACCACTGAGCTACATCCCCGGCCCTTTTGCTGACATTTTAAAGAGACATTTTCTGTTGGACACCAGGCCACATGCTTGTAACCGGGCACTCTCAGAGGCTGAGGCAGGCAGATGGCAAGTTTGCCTGGGCAACTTGGTGACTACAAAAGATTCTGTCTTTTTTTTTTTTTTTTTTTTTGGTACCAGGGATCAAACTCAGCACCTCGAGCTTGCCAGGCAGGTGCTGTGCGGCTGAGCTACAAACCCAGACCCTTTTGTTTTGTTTTTTGTATTGTTTTGTTTCTTTTTTTAAATTGTTTTTTATTTTTTGGTACCGGGGATCGAATGTTTCTTTAGACAGGGTCTCACTGTGCAGTTCAGGCAGGCCTTGAACTCACTAGGTAGCCCAGGCTGGCCTCCAACTCACAGCAACCCTCCTGCCTCAGCCTCCTGAATGCTGGGATTACAGGGGTGTGCCACCACGCCTGGCAAGGTCTTGTTTTATAATAAGAAAAAATAAATGGGTGGGAATGTAGTTCAATGTGAGAACTCTGGGTTCAATCCCCAGTACTGCAAAAAATAAAAAGGCTTTCTACCACCAGCATCCTTTGCATCAATTTGTATTAGAGTGAATGATGTGAAATTACCAACATTTTATCAGTTTTTGACCCATCAGAAGGTAATTTCAGAGCCGGGCATGTGGCTCATGTCTGTCATCCCAGCACCCAGGAGGGTGAGGCAGAAGGATCACCTTGAGTTTGAGGCCGGCCTGGGCTACAGAGTAAACTCAGGGGCAGCCTGGACTACAGAGTGAGACCCTGTCTCAAAAAATAAAAAGAACAAGACGGGTTGTCTTGATGGCTTTGCCCCCTCCAGCCCCTCCCACAAGCGTCCCATTGAAATTTCCTAACACTCCTGTGGCCTGGGCTCCTCGCTGCACCCATTTTAAAGTCAGGTAAACTGAGGCAGGAGAGGTATAAGTGGGCACGTGACCCGGGGAGGAGCAGCGTGGGCAGGGCGCTCACCCGAGAGGCTCTTGGCACACTTGAGGTCACTGCGCAGGCCGTGGTCGTGGTCCCACGTGGAGAAGGGTAGGGAGAGGCCGCTGGGCGCGGTGGAGGCGGCGCCCAGCTCACTGGCCACGGGCGCCGTGAGCTGCAGGCTGTAGTCCGTGTCCTCGCCGCCCAGGCGGACCGGGAACTGCAGCGACTGGGCGTAGCCCTCCCAGTCCCGGAGCTGCACGGCCAGGCGGCTGCCGCGGCCCCCCGCAAGGCGGTGCATTTTCTCCAGGCCCAGCCAGAACTCGCCTGCGCGGGACAGCGGGGTGAGGGGCAGTGTCAGCGGGGTGAGGGGCAGTGTCGGCGCCCCTGGCCCCGCTCCTCGCCCCCTGCACCGCTGGGAACACCCACCTTGGGGGTCCCCGAAGCCCGCCTTGTAGGCTTCCCAGGGCTGATTGAAGTCCACGGAGCCGTCCTGGCGCCTCTGAATCACTGTCCAGCCTCCATCTGCCCAGAGAGACACAAGGTCACCAGGGGGCGCCCTCACAGGGTTCCCTGCAGCCCCTGTGACCCCAGACCCAGGCAGGGGACGCTGAGAGGGTGTGCGGGAGGGTGAGGCAGAGGAGGAATACTGTGGGCTGTGGCTGGCAGGGTCCCAGGGACCCACAGGGAAGGAAGGGCAGGAGAAATCTGCGAAACCAGCTGCAGATCCTTTTTAAACATTGTTTTGTTTTGTTTGAGACAGGGTCTCAGAATGTAGCCCAGGCTGGCATTGAACTTGCAGAAATCCTCCTGCCTCAGCCCCCAGAGTGCTGGGAGTACAGGTGTGCACAACCACGCCCAGCACCAGCTGCAGATTTTAACCATAGGGGACCTTTCTCTGAGCTTTATTGCAATGCTGTCACTGAAGTAAAGCCTGCTCTTTATTTTTTATTTTCTTGTGCTGCTGGCTGGGGTTGGAACTCTGAGCCTCGCATCTGCTGAGCAAGTTGTGACAAGAGGCCCCCTGGCTGGCCGCACACCCTACCTGAGGCCATCTGGCAGGTGACCAGGAACGGTGGGGACCCCTGAGGCTGGATCTGGAACAGGCCACTCTGCCGCTCGCCCTCCTCAAAGAGCTCCTGGCAGTCCTGGGGCAGCCCTGAAGCAGACAGAAGGAGATGAAGCCACAGAGAAGCCCTGGGGGCCTCTGGAGACCGGCAAGGGTGAGGGCTGGGCAGTGGGGTGACAAGGAGGTGAGGGACAATCCTGATCCGATGACCCTTCCCCTGCAACTGCCTAAACTCTCCCATGGCTCCCTAGGTCCCTGAGTATGGCGTCTTAGGCAATTCTGAGAACCAGCCTCCTCCTCCTCCCCACACTGTCCCCTCCCTTCCTCGGGTCACACACCATCCTGCCACAGGGGCTCTGCACATGCTGGTCCCTCTTCGGGGGACCCTTTTCCCTCCCTCCTCTCTCCCATTCCCAGTTCCTGGAAGTTTGCCTTCTCTCACCCCTCCCCACCTCCTTAAAACAAAGCACGAGAATGACCCCCTTCCCTCCACTGAGTTGGGGCTCCCCGAGGCCAGGGACAAGAAGTTCTGGCCACAGTTGGGCACTACTTTGATGAATGATTGAAGGAGTTGGAGCAGAGGCAAAATGACCAAGTCAGGCTGGTGCACAGTGGATGCCGTCGGAGCTTCATGGCCCTTGGGGGTCCCAGCTATCGGAAGGGGAGGGGGCAGGACTGAGGGGGGAGGAGGAGGGGAGGAGAGAAACTCGGCCTTGGGCCCCTGGAGGCTTGGCCAGAACCACCCCTGGGCCTGCTGGGAAAGCAGGAGAAAGGTCACCTGAGGGAGGGCACGGGGACTGTCCACACTGGGATGGGGCAGGCATGGCTGGAGGACACTTTCTGGCCCCTTGGGCAGCTCCCCTTTCCCCTACTTTCCTCCTATACAATCAGGACAGGCACCGGGCCAAGCCCCAGTGTGGTCTCCTCAGCCCAGCTGTTTGTCTCCTGGCTCTGAACTTTCCCCTATTTGGCCAGGCTGAGTCTGGGAGTCCCAGATCCACACCTCGCACCCCAGCCTCTCTTCCACCAAGCTCAGCCTGGCCTGTGCCTGCTGGCCACAGAGGCCCCTCATCCCAGGGCCATGGTGGTCTGGGAGGGCTGGGAGCCACCCCCCCAGGATAAGGCTGGCCCGAGGAGGAGCAGGGGAGAAGGGAGAAGCCTGGGAAGGGGGGTGCTCAAAATCACAGGGCCGGAAGCCAGCATCCAGCCCCAGGGTGTGAATCAGGGAATCCAAACTTTCACCCACTTGGCTGTGGACGCCCCAGATGCCAGTGGGGTGACGGAGGTGGCTGTGAATTTAGGGTGGGAACTGGGATCCCGTGTCACACACACACCACCACACACACACACACACACACACACACACACACACACACGTGGAAGCTTGAGATTAAGGGAAATTCAGGACAGACACTATGAAGGACCTAGAACTTGTGAAGGCAGAGAAGGCCCATTCTGTGTGTGCGTGTGCACACCCGTGTGCATGTGTGGATCCCACACATGGGAATTTGGGGGTAAAAGAAGTGTGAAGGACTAAGAGCCCTGGAATTGTAAGATTCAAGAGTGCATGTGTCTGGCCCAAAAGCTGGGGGGTCCCTGCCCTAGTTCCCCCTCCTAAATCTATACCTCAAGAAATCTTGAGGTGCCAAACCTCAGAACCCTCCCTGAGCATGGTGCTTCTTGTCCATCACACTCCCAAAAGGCTCTAAGCCTTAGGATGGCTCCCCTGAGCTACCTTGCATCTCCAGGCACCCCTGAACCTTAATTCCTTGAGTCTCTCTTCCAATCCCTTCTCCCTCCCAGCTGGGAGTTTTGGGGGAAAGCCTGCTGGCTTGCTGGGAAGAAGGGTGAAGTGGCCTGGTGCCCCCATCAGCCCAGTTGCCAGACCCTGGCCAGCCCAAAGGGACCCAAGGGCAGGGTTTCTCTCCTTTTCCTTAAGGTGGACCCCATAAGGGAGTGGGGGGAACCGCAATGGGATTGGAGGGGTACAGGGGCCAGACACTCACTGTGCAGGCGGGTAGCATTGGGAGCCAGGCCACCAAGCTGGGCCATCTTGGGGAGCCTCTTTCTTCGGTCAGGCTGCGACACCCCACTGCCGAGGTGCGGGGGAGCCAGGAGGTCAACCTGGGACGGGATGCGAAAGCTTAGTTGGGGCTACCCTGCCCCGCTCCACGTCTGGTCCTGCAGCCCGGCTCTGACCCCCTCCCGACTCGGGTCAGGCCTCGGTACCTGGCTCTGCAGATTCTGGATTCTCAGGCGCTGCTTCTCCAGGTGTCGCTGCTGCCCGGCCACCTTCTGGACCAGCTGCTCGATCCTGCCGTTCTGAGCCTTGAGCTGCATCTAGGGAGGGTGACCACATCGGTGAGGGCCGGCTTAATGCCTGCTCCTGCCCGCTCATCCACCCCTCCCGGTGTGCATCCTCCGGGGCCGTCACAAGGGTCCCCGCCCGGGAGGCTGTGGCGCCCCCTTCCCGTCCACACCGCCCGCAGTCGCGCGCGCAGCCAGCCCCGGGGAGCGCGCCGACCTGCAGGTCGCGGAGGGTCTCGAGCGCCTCCTGGCCGCCGGCGCCCGCGCTGTCGGGGGCCCTGGAGGGCGCGGGGGGCTCCCCGGGTCCCCGGCACGTGGCTCCGCATTCGGCCAGGCGCCGCTCCAGGGCGCCTAGCTGCCCGCGAGTGCGCTCCACGTGTTCGCGCAGCCCGTGGCCGAGCTGCAGCAGCCCGTGAGCCAGGACGTTCACCTCGTCCCAGGAAGCGGGGCGCGGCGGCTCGGGGGTCGCAGGCCGGCCCTGGGCGCTCAGCAGCCCGGCGGTGGCGGCGCACAGCACCAGGGCCGCGCTGGCCGTCGGGGCGCAGCGCATGGCGAGCTCGAGGGCGCGGGGAGGAGAGAGCTGGAGGACCCCGGGCGGAGCAGAGGACCGCAGCCTCAGGCCTGCTCGCCTGGGTGTCCCCGGCGGCGCCCAACGCCCCTTTTTATAAAGCGCGTGCAGGGCGGAAGGGGGACTTCGGGGGCGGTGGGCGGGGCGCGCAGGGGCGGCGCGAGGGGAGGGGGTGGGGTCCTGTGTGCAGCCGGAGGCCGGGTTGTTGGGGGTGGGTCGGGGAATTTGGGGGGGATGCTGAGCTGGGGCGCCCCTCGCCCGTGCGCCTGACTCTGGCAAGCATGGGACGCGCGAGCCTCCTTAGCCCACGGTCCCGCATCTCTCCACCGCGGGTTCTGGGGTGGTCCTCACTCCATCCGGGACTGACGATATTCCTGCCGCCCTCCCGGAGTCAGGCTGGGGACGAGGGCGAAGAGAGCCACGTGCAGCGAGGTCCCCTTCCCGGTGCGCCGAGCTCAACCAGGCGGGCGCGGAGGCCCGGGCGCTCTGACCTCCCCGCCTCGGCCTCCCGGAAGCCGCCCACCATCCGCAGGGCCTGACTAAGCCGGAGCTCAGCCCCACCCGAGACGGCTCGGGGTCGGCTCGGGGTCGACACGCGTCAGGTCTTGCCTGTATTCGAGAAAACCTGAGGCAAGGGAAGAAGGTTCCCCTTCCACTTTCCTTCTTTCTTTCCCTCCCTCTTCCCGGCCTCCCTCCCCTCCCTCCCTCATTCATTCATTCCTTCATTCATTCTTCAACGAAGCGGGCCTCTGGTCCCGGTCCAGGCCTGCGCGGAGCTCGCTGGCTGGTGGAGAGACCCTAATACTCCGAGCCTGAGAAGGGTCAGGCTGGGACTAAAAAATGACGTAAACCAGACTCTGGAGCTGTTCATACCACAAAGCCAAGCTTTCCTTCCGCGTGAGGCTGGCAAGAAAACCTGCCTGCCAGGAAGAACCCCGGGCAAGTGGGCTTAAAAAACCGGGAAAGAAAGAAAAAACAAGAAGAACTGAGTTGACTCAGCAGGGCTGGCAGCCAGCTGCGCAGCCTTCGGAATGCGAAAGCTCACGCCCAGCTCTCTGATGTGCCTGCAGTCACTCAAACACCCGGCCAGGCCGCCGCGGTCGCAGCAGAGAGGAAGGGCAGGGAGGAAACCCGCAGCCTGGCGGTTCAGATGGCCACCATCTGGCCTGTGCATCTGGCCTGTCCGCCGCCCCGGCCCCTCAGCCTCTCTCCTGTGTCAGCAACGCTGTCCCGGGCTGCTCCTCTTCCCCAGCTTCCGACCCCAAGAGAAATGACCCATGCTCTCGCCTCACCTGAGGGCCTTTTCCAGAACTGCTTTTAAAGCTTCTTTGGTAAGAAAAAACAAAAATCAAACAACAACAAAAAACTTCTTTGGTGTCTTTTTTCAGACAGCACAAAAACAGCAGAGACTAAACTGGGGGGAGGGGCAGTGCACACCCTTAATTCCAGCACTCTGGGAGGCTGAGGCGGGAGGATCACAAATGTGAGCCCAGCCCCCAATTTAGAAACTTGGCAAGATCGTCTCAAAAATAAATACATAAATAAAATAATAATTTAAAAAATGTATATGCAATGAAGAAAAGTCTAGAGATGTAGTTCAGTGCAAAAGCCTGTTCAATCCCCAGTACAGAAAAAAGGAAAACAAAAACTTTAAAAACCAAGAAAACCACAGAAGACTCAGGGGCACCTTGTACACTTTACAAAAGGCTCCCATCCTCCTGGGCTTGGAGCTGCCCTGGACTTTATCTTAAAAGCGCCCTCTGACCCAGCCCTAACAGTCACCCTGACCGTGTGTTCCTGCAGGGGACATCCTCATGCCCTACCCCTGGCCTTGACCACAGGCCGCTCTGGTTCTGATAATTAGCTAGGAAGATAGCCCGGAGCTGAATCTGGGGGAGGGAACAGGATCTGCACGTGGGAGGCTGAGGCAGGAGGAGCACCTGGAGTTCCAGGCCAGGCTGGGTTACATAGTGAGCTCAGGGCCAACCTGAGCTACAAAGGGAGTCCCTGCCTCAAAACAAACAAGCAAGCAAACAAACAAATAAACAAAAACAAAGTAGCAGCTAGGATCCTAGCAGTCACTAGGATTAAAGGAATATGTGATCACTTGGGAACACTACCTGGGGTAAATGAAGTGCCCCGTGGGATGCTTGTTGCATTTATTTATTTATTTTTGAGAAAGAGTCTCTCTAGGTAGCCCAAGCTGACCTTGAACTCAATGTATAGCCCCAGCTGACCTTGAACTCAAGGAGATCCTCCTGCTTCAGCCTCCCAAGTGCTGGGATTACAGGCATGTGCCACCACCCCCAGATAGTGGCTGTCTACAAAGCAGTTCTCTGGCTCCAGTCAAGCTTGTAGATGACTTCAGCCTCCCCTGACACCTGTCAGCAACTGCAGGAGACTGCAAGCCAGGAACACCCAGCCCAGTAACTTTGGAACTCCTGATTCATAAGAGCTATGAGATAATAAATATTGTCAGCCAAGCATGATGGCACATCCCTGTAATTCTAACACTCGGCAGGCTGAGGCAGGAGGATTGCCATGAATTCAAGGCCACCCTGGGCTACATAGCGAGACCCTGTTGCAAAAAAAAAAATTGTATCAACATACATGGAGACATTTATGTATAGAAACACACATTCAACTAGAGATATATACAATATACATGTACAAACATATTTATGGCAAAAGATACAATTATACTATACACATCTACATGTACATATAGGCAATACACAGAGACACATTTATCTACACAGAAATACATGCATATATAATCTACACACATTATATACAATGCATACCCAGGCATATAGAATATCTGTAGACACATTAATATACACCGAGACATGTATGGGATACACACAAACAGACATATGGAGAGAGCCACATTTGTGTACAGTAAGACACATGTGCATACATATACATATTTGTGTGATAGACATGCAGATAAGCATACATAAAATACACAAGACTGGGGTATAGCTCAGTGGTAGGTAGAGGGCTTGCCTAGCTTGTGCAAGGTCCTAGGTTTCATTATCAGAACTGCAAGAAACAACAAAAAATATATATATATATATAAAATCTAAGTAATGTATACGCATATGTAATGCACACAAACTTGTTTATATGACAAGAACTAGATTGCTTGGTGTGGGAGTGCACACCTATGATCCCAGTGGCCTTGGAGGCTGAGGCAAGAGGGTCACAAATCCAAGGCCAGCCTAGGCAGTTTAGTGAGACCCTTTCTCAAAAGGAAAAAAAAGCACAAGGGTGTGCTGGTCCACGCCTGTCATCCCAGCACTTGGGAGGCTGAGGCAGGAGGATCCCCACGAGTTTGAGGCCAGCCTCAACTACATGGTGAGTTCAAGGCCAGGCTGAACTACATGTCAGGTCCTCATCTCAGCGCCCCCAAGAAAAGTTTGGGTGTGATAGTGCGTGCCTGTAGTCCCAGCACTTGGGAGGCTGAGCAGGAGACTGCTGTGAAAAATAATTACTGAAAAAATATAAAAATGAGTAAGGAGGCAGCTCAGTGTGAAGGCCTTGAATTCAATCCCTGCTGAAACAAAGCAAAGCAAAACAAAACCAAAACAATAAAGTCAGCTATAGGGAGAAACACATATCATCCACACACACAGCAGGAACGTGCACAGACGAGTCAGGACACAGGGAGAGGGACAGTGTGCTCTGACGCTGCTGCATGGTTGTTTTCTGAACACTCCAGGGTGCGTCACCCATGTGTCTGCGGCCTCTGACCCTCGGCCAGGAACAGGAACTCTTACATAAGCTCAGGACCGCACCCTGACCCAGGATATCTGCCCCCTGGAGCCCCAGCCGGGCCCTCTCCAGAGCTGTATTCTTGTCCCACTTGTTGTGAACCTTTGAACCCCGACCCCTGAGCGGGACCAATCCAAAGAGGAACCCAGACACGGCTCAGCCAGGACTGGGAGCAGCGGGAAAAATGCACACTGGGCTGGACGCAGTGGTTCCTGCATGTGATCCCAGCCCCTCTGGAGGCTGAGGCAGGAGGATCAGGACTTCGAGGCCAGAGTGGGCAGCATAATACAACTCCACCCTAAAAAAATACACTCTGGCCTGGGACACATGCTTAGCTCTTTTGTTTGTTTTATCTTGTTTTGTTTTCTTTTTTGAGACAGGATCTGGTTGTGTAGTGCAGGCTGGCCTTGAACTCACTGTGTAGCACAGACTGCCCTCAAACTTGCAGTGATCCTCCTGCCTCAGCCTCCCAGGTGCTGCGATTATAGGAGTGAGCCATCAGGCCTGGCTTCAAACTCATTTCTTGCTGGACAGTGCCATAAGATTGTTGAGGCTGCTGCTTGACCCGAAGGTGGCCTTCACTGACTCTCCAGCTGACCACGTGTTTCCTGCCACTCTGCTGACATCTGGGGCTCCTGGGAGGGTCAGCCCTGGGTCAAGGAGCTCAGAGGCAGGGGAGGAGATGACTCAGAATCTGAGTGCCCCAACCGCTCTTCCTCCCAGCCTAGAGCCTGGCACTGCAGGGCTAACAGCCCCCAGGTCACCCAGCAGAGAGCAATAAGCCAGTCTCGGTGCCACATGTGTGACATCCCAGCATTTAGGAGGCTGAGGCAGGAGAATTGCTGGGAGTTCAAGGCCAGCCTGAACTACACAGCGAGACCTCGTCTCAAAAAACGAAAATTAAACCAAAAAAGAATAATAACGAATGCAGTGGACATTTACTGGCCACCCAGGTTTACACCATCAGACATGCCCAGTCCATTTTCTATTTTTCTTTCTTTCTTTCTTCTTGGTTTTTTTGAGACAGGGTCTTGCTATGCAGTTCAGGCTGGCCTTGAACTCACTACGTAGCCTAGGCTGGCCTCAAACTCATGGTGATCCTCCTGTCTCAGCCTCCCTAGTATGTGCACCACCACACCTGGTCTCAAGAATTTTCTTTTTCAAAGAAAGGCATGGTGGCACGTGCATATAATCCCAGCACTCTGGAGGCTGAGGCAAGAGGATCATCATAAGTTTGAGGCCAGCCTGGGCTACATAGTGAGTTCAAGGCCAGCCTGAATTGCATAATGAGACCCTGTTTCAGAAAAA